CATTTCACCCATAAAAGCATCAATATGTATTGCTAACATAAGGACATTTTGTAAATTCTTCTTAATGCTGTTAAGAAGTTTTAATCAATAATACTGCTGTAGTAAGCTAGTTCTGCTTCACTCTAGAAGTAGAATTTCAGAGAGCAATGGCTTAGTCTCACCATACAGTAAATTCTTAACCAGTAAAACTCTCTGGGATCTTTTAAGGCAGAATGACCATAGCACAGCTATAATCTCACTATTCATTAATCTGGGGCTCCTTTTGCAACATAGCCTGGACCAGTTTTCATGACTTTATTTATTTATTTTTTAAGCGGAAAGGCAGACATACCACTCCCTATCACCTTCTCTTCCCTTTCCTTTCTTCCTTTTCTAGGCCTTCTTCCCCACTTTACGAAACCCCACTCCCTGCCTACTTTCCCCACCCCCAGCGGCACACACACAAACTATGCCAAAAGTATACCTTATCTCAGAATACATTAGACAAATGCGTGATTCGCCTCTATGGAAGTCTAACAATAAGACGATGATGGGATACCATTTTGTTTCTCTCCCATGTGGTTTTCAAGATCCTTATAATATTCACCTGAAATGTCTAGTGTTTAGGGGGAAAAGATATTCTACTCTGTACAATTTTAGAGGATAGACTTTATTTATGCCAAAGGTTCTTGTCTTAGTTTTTCAAAAGCAGATTTTAATTAGTTTCTTCCCAAAGAAAAAAGAATTATATATACATAAGTAGAACCTGTGGGATCAAAAAAAGGCTTTATGTTTGAAAAGCAAAACACCAGTGCAATAGTTTGGTAACTTGGTCCTCATTGTCCCTTCTGTTAGAATAAAAAACCCTGGTTACTTGTAGGGTGAAGGTAAGAAAGAATATAATAACAAAACGAACAACCTCATTACCAACCCTAAAATATTACTTGAAAAATTTCCAGAGTTGGCTATATTAGGTAACATGTAATAATAATGTAAATACTAAATTGTACACTACACGTGGTTCTTGGCAATAAAGTTAAGAGGGGAGTTACACGAATCCCAATATTCTCCACCTATGTGCTCGACATTTCTCTTTCCTGCAATTTTATTTGCAAAGTGGCATTTCCTTCATTTCTTTCCCCAAACAGACAATATTGCTGAGAGCATGGTTGCTATATTTCAGTTCAGAAATGGGTTTGTTTCAGTAGTGTGTAGGCAGTCCTGGTAAAACTAAGATCTTTGGGAAGGAATCATGGTATATAAGTGAGGTACTTAACCACAGTTTTCATCATCTTGTCACAGAAAAATCCAGGCTTGTTTTCCATATGTACCCATGAGCCCTTGGTTTAGTTTGGGGCAGCCTTTTGGAAGACACAATGCCACAAACATAATAGTAACAATGACTCCTTTGGGTCATTATTATCTTACTCTCAAACAGAAAAAAAAAAACAACCAAATAAGCAATTTTGGTTTCCCTATAGGCTAAAGATTTAGGTTAGTGGCAACACATCTTTCACTGTTCCAACTTTCACAAACAGGAAAGATCATAGACTTTCTTATTAAGAAAACATGAAATGTATTTTGGAATAGGGTGCAAAATTACAAAGGCTATTCTCCAAATGGTATAAGAATTTCATAGTTAATCCCTCATTTCTGCTAATTAGCAATGACATGCGTATCACTGAACTTCCCCAAGAGATTTCACTGCAAAATCAAATAAAAAATAAGAGGCTAGAAGAAGGAAGTTTCTATAAAAAATAGCTTTTTTGATAAAACAAAGAGACCTAGAAATGAAATGTGTGGGAAAGATGTATGTATAGCTCTGCATCTGAACTTGTGCTTTAATGAGAGCCTGCTCTGCTTCTCTCAGAAAGTCTTCTATGAAATAATGTGCTCCTAATATGACGTTAAGAGATTGTTTGGAGGAGCAAACACGATCCAGAGTCAAAGCACAAAAAAGTACAGAAACTAAAGGAGCCTGAAGTCGAGCAACTCCTAGAAACACTCAGTCTTCCTGCAGACACTCCATAGAGCCAGCTGCTGGGCTTGTGCCAGTGTATATTCTGAGGGTGCTGACAAGAGCTTCCTGTTGTTTAGTCGCTCACTGCGAAGCCAGCTACACATTTCCCCCCTTTTATCCTGTGGTCATATTTAAGCTGCTGAGTAGCCAAGTTTCATTTCCCAAGGGCAGCCTCGGGCTCCTTTAGAACCAGGCTAAGAATGTGGACTGGGACCAAGAGGATCCCAGAGGGCCTGCTACTCTGGTGGCATTTACCAAAGGACCATGCTGTCTCCAGCCAAGTCAATGTAAAACCCTGAGAAGTACGGCAGGTAGATTTTTCCTGCGTCTCAGCTACACCCATGCGCACTGGGGAAATCTAAGTTAGAGGCACTGACAATAATCCCACTGAAGGGGAAAGAAGAAAAGAACTAACCTAAGTAACTTTGAAAAACAATATTTTGGCTAATATGGCTAAAACCAAAAATAACTGTACAAATATTATACTCTAGTTAGTAAATTTGTTTCCATAGCTATATGGATTAGGAATTCTGAAACTATAATATACTAAATAAACAAATAAGAAAATATATTTTAGCCCTGGCTGGCGTAGCTCAGTGGATTGAGCGCGGGCTGGGAACCAAAGTGTCCCAAGTTCAATTCCCAGCCAGGGTACATTCCTGGGTTGCAGGCCACAGCCCCCAGCAACCGCACATTGATGTTTCTCTCTCTCTGTTTCTCTCTCTCTCTCTCTCTCTCTCTCCCCTCCTCCCTTCCCTCCCTAAAAATAAATATCTAAAAAAATATATATATATATATATTTTAGGTAATAAGCCTCAGGTTTCTCACTGTCCAAGAAAGAAGTTGCAGACAAGCAAGAAGGGAAAGCTATGTGGAAACCTGTGGTACTGAGGTAGGGCAGAAGTTATCATTATAAACTCATGATTAAAATATATACAGATACAGAAATAATGTACAAATAAGGAGGAGGGATGGCATGACCGCTGTGTTGTTGCACTGGAACTGGATGTGATAGTGTGAACTCATGGATTTCAATATACACACTGACAGACACAGAAATAATATAACATGTGTGTGCATGGGTTAGTATACGTATATATATATTATTTCCCAGTCCTGTCTGCTGAGAGGGTCCATAAACAGTGACATTCGAGGAGCAGTGAACACACCTAGTTCCAAGGTCTTGGTTTCTAAATATTATTCTCCAATAAAAGGAACCAGGGTTCCATGTAAAAGTAGTTGATTCCAGGGTTAGGGCAGGGAAAATACGACATGAGCCTGAAACATCTTGTGGTGAAAGAAAGAAAGGGAGCACCCAAAAAAGCATTCAGAAAGGGCAAAAGAGTCAACCTAAAGTATTTCCTAATGGCTAAAGTTAGAACAATTTGAGTAGCAAAGTAAAAACAACCATAATATTAGATTATAGCTCACAGAACACAATAAATATCCACAAGCCTATACTGCTACAAATAAATAATTGAATAAATGAATAAACAAACAAATGGGGGGAAAAGGACAGTTTTTCCTTTTAAAAGAATTTCAATTAATAAATGGAGAATAAATAAGTATAAAAATATCATTAGACAAACACCTCACTATGTAACTGTTACAGGTAAGCTCCACCAATGGATATTAAATTAACAGGTTAAAGTTTAAGGATAAGCAGGATAGTTGCATAGTTTCACAATATTTCCTCTAAGGCATTTATGAGTTACAAAGGAGAAATAGTAACTTTCCAGTGGGGAAACTCATCAGACAAGGTTAACATCAACAGTAGTAAGATCTATTAGTGCTATGTGCCCTGGATATGATATGCTGAGATGGGCAGAGCCTCACTTTTTGTAGTATTCTTACCAAAGTGTATAACCTCAATCTAAACAGAAGAAAACATCAGAAAACCAAAACTAAAAGATATTCTACAAAATACCTGACTAGTACTCCTCAAAAATGCCAAGATCATAAAAGACAAGGAAAGACAGGTACCGGGAGGAGACTAAGAAGACATAACAACTAAAGGCAACATGAAATTGTGGACTGAGTCCTGGAACAGAAAAAGGACCTCAGTGGAAAAACTGGTAACATTCTAATAGAAGCTACAGTTTAGTTAATGATATTTAATAATATTATACCAATGTTAATTTCCTAGTTTCGATAATTATACTATGTTTATGTAAGACATTAACATTGGGGAAAACTGGGTGAAGGGTATTCAGGAACTCCGTGTACTGTTTTAGCAACACTCTGTATATCTAAAATTATTTCAAAATAAAAACTTAAAAACAATAAAGTATAGCTTCAAATCAAATAGAATCTGTGGCAAGATGGAAATAATTAATTCATAATCTCTCATTTTAAAATACACTGGCTGGTCCTTTTAAAGTTGAGTAATCTATTTTAGTAGGGCACTCAATTTGTAAAACTCTTAATGTGTCTTAAATTCATACCTAGCACTTCTATCTAAAACATACATTATTTCTTCTTGTACAGCAGGCTTCAATAAAATTTAAAAGTTAATCTTATTGGGAACACAAGTCTTGTTCATCTCTCACTGGCTGGGTAATACATCACAGCACTTTTTCCTTATGCCTTCTCAAGAAGGCCCCCTGAGTACTGATTTCCCTTCCTACTTACTGTCAGAAATCCAAACGGTTACTGCAGCAGGATGAACTAACTTCATGAAGAACGCAGCATCTAAGATTATTTGCCAATCTTTCTCAAAATGTTAATCCCAGTTCTTAACATTACCTCCCCACCACACTTTCCTCTTTATTCCTAAAGCCAAAACTCTGACCAAATTCTTGCTATTTTATATCTGAATAATTACGATCTCTTGACCATTAATCCAAAATGCCACCATCAAATACAACTAGCTTTCTGAAAAAATTACTCAGTTGGGCTTAGTGTTACTTTGCCCCTTGCTGATGGAGCCCTTTGCCATTCTACAAGAATGGTTATAGATGATGTGACAGAATGATGAATAAAAAAACATTACAAGTCCCACCTGGTGATTTTCCTTGTAAGTTTGAATTAATAACTCTTTCAGTTTCTTCTTTCTTTCTTTTGCCAATTTTTCTTCCTCCTGAAGAATATGAACATGTTGAAACATGCCTTTTTCTGGATGTTTTGGAGAACTTTCTTCTTGCTTTTTCTTTTCTCTATTTATAATAATTTAAAAATACATACATAAACAATAGACTTAATAATGAATAATTACAGACCATTGTGGAATGAAGACTAAATTTTCCATCAGAAGACACAGATTTAGATCTGGCTTATTTATTTATTTATTTATTTAAAATTTTTTCATTTTATTTTATTTTATTATTTTTTTAATGTTGTGTAAGTATAGCTGTCTCCATTTTCCCCCAACACTCCCCACCCCCGCCCCACCCATCCCCACCTACCATCCTTGATCCTACTCTCTTTGGCTTTGTCCATGTGTCCTTTAAACATGTTCCTTGATATCCCCCTCCCACCACCATCTGGTTACTGTCAGTTTGTTCTTTATTTCAATGTCTCTGGTTACCTTTTGCTTGCTTGTTTGTTTTGTTGATTAGGTTCCACTTACAGGTGAGATCATATGGTATTTGTCTTTCAGTGCCTGACTCATTTCACTTACATAATGATCTGGCTTTAAAACTACATGATAGGGCCCTGACTGGTGTGACTCTTTGCACTGAGTGCTGGCCTGAGAACCAAAGGGTTGCTAGCTCGATTCCCAGTCAGAGCACATACCTGGGTTGCAGGCCAGGTCCCCAGTAGGGGATGTTCAAGAGGCAACCACACATTGATGTTTCTCTCTCTTTCTCCCTCCCTTCCCTCTCTAAAAATAAATAAATAAATAAAATCTTCAAAACAAAAACAATAAACTACATGGTAGGGTGATTTTTTTGAGCCTTAATTTATTCCTTTTTTAAAATAAAATATGGATTAAATGAAATGAAATTGTTATAATGTGCTCTGAAAAGTAGAAAAGTATTATCTGCTCATGGTAAAAAACTGGAGGGAGATAAAAGCTATCCATATTTCCACACAGACTAAAACACTGATAACATGCCAGTGCTGTTTCACTGTAGAGTCACTGTTTATTCACTTCTCCACTATTTATTAATGCCTGTTATCATAAATAATATTACTTTAATTATCTTTTTGCACAAATCTTTGTCTGGATTTCTGATCATTTTCTTAGGGCAGTTTCCCTAGAATTGGAAATTCCCAGGTCAAGTGATACTAACATTTTTATGGCTCTTGTGTTTATTGCCAAATTGCTTTCTAGAACGTTTAAATCAGTTCATCCGCCAGAAGAATAGCACAGTATCTGTCTCACTGTAACCATGGATAAAATTCTAACTTTTAAAAGAAATGACTGGTGAGTGATCATTTGCTGAGTGCCCACTGGAGCAGAGCTCCCTACTACCAACAAATGTTACTTGCTTCACAGTTTATTTCAGGTCAGCCTAGATTTCTCAGGGCTTAAGAGCAACGGGAAAAGCATGGTTGACCTTAGCAAGAACTCACTAAAACACTGGTGATTGCTTTCTAAGAGGAATGGCATCCAGAGGAGGCCTGAGCCTAGCACTTGAAAGTGAAGGGCAAGCCCACTGCAGAGCTGTTTTAAACTGGGTAGAATAAGAGCAATCAAGAACACAGAGGGAAAAGCTGTGTGGGCTAATGGGGGTGGAAGCGGTTATTTAATAGGTCTTTGTGGCCTCTCTGAGTATTCAGTCACTTCAGGCACACTGTTCCAAGGCCTTTGCAGTTCAAGCATCAATGCTGTGTCTCTGAATAAATACATGTTATTTCCTTTGTGAAGCTCATTTTCTTCATGAGGATACATAATAGTACTACATCCTGTGAGAACTGTTTTGATTTTCCTCTTATGTCAGATATCCTTTTCTTTATCAGTGGCAGCCTGGCAATGCAGACTCTCCCTATGATTGTCAGAAGACACTACACTGACACCATTCACAATAGAATGAGGCACAATTAGTGACTGTGCATAAGGAAACATGTTAAACCTTCAAAATGTTCAGGTAACCTAAGAGATGCAAACTAACCAATATAATACCTATTACAAGTGCAAAATATATTGAAAATGATGATACTTCTCAATGCTAAGAAAACTGGTAAACCGGCCCACGGCCAGCAATAGTAATGTAGTAAGTCCAATCCATTTGGAAAGCAACTTGGCAATATTACAAGAGTCATAAAAAGGCCTATACCATTTAACTCAGTCATTACAATCCTAAGAATATAATTCAAAAGAATAAAAAAGTTCTTTGCTTAAGGATGCTCAGTGCACTATTAGTGAAAAAGTCTGAAGTAGCTGCAATGCTTACCATTATAAGGAGAGGAGATTATTATATAAATTATGGTATAGAACTCAATGGAGTAATGTACAGACCTCAGGACTCCAGTTAATGTGATAATTACAACAATCAGATAAACAAATTAAATGTGCTTTATAGTATGTAAATTAAGTATGTAAAGGGACAAAGACCAGGAAGACATATGGAAGAGTGAAAAGAGTTAATTTGTTAAGATGGTAGAATAGTGGGTGATTTCTTTGTTGTGTTTTGTAATTTTAATGTTTGTTCACTTAAAAAAAACTTTAGAGTACTTCCAAAATGACTGCTTAAACAAAAACGAACTCTACACTGCTCATTGCAGCTGACTTACATTTTCCAAGCCTCTTCCACAGTGCGTCTCCTCTCAATTATCTCTCTCCGCAGCTTTACCATCTCCCTTTGAATCTCCTCCTCCTCTTTCTTGGCCTCCAGAGCCTTCCTTTTCTTCTCTTCCTGTACCAGATACTGAGCCTCTAAGAAGGCCGATTTTTTCAGGGTCTTTTCAATTCTCTGGCGCTCTAATTCTTTCTCCCGTCTTAAGCGATTTTCTTTTACCTTAAGGAGAATACAAGGGTAAAATGCAGCTTTTCAAGTAGAAGAGATTTGCAAAATCATAGAGCACATTTTGAAGTTCAGAATATACCCATTCTGCTCCAGAACCCCACTGTTTATCAGAAGAATGGAGGGAATTCATTTGTTTACTGAGTAAGGGCCAATACAAAATTCTAAGTGAAGTTAGGTAAGATGACTCTCTAACAGTTGGGAATTATCTGCACCACAGAAAAGTTGAAAATCTAATGGGTCAGCTGCCAAGGTCTGTATTCTTATTTAGTAATGATTTCCCACCCATAAGATTTTTCAAAATATACATTACTACTATTTATTTATGCCATGTCTGCATACTAATTATAATCTTTTCAAAAATAATATTTTGGGGAGGCTACACTGTGAAGGATAGAACGGTGATTTACAGATGGTCTCCAACTTATGATGGTTTGACTTACAAGTTTTTGACTTTACAATGGTACAAAAGCAACATGTCTTCAGTAGAAACCATACTTCAAATTCTGAATTTTGATCTTTTTCTGGGCTAGTGGTATGTGGTATAACACACTCTCGTAATACTGGGCAGCAGCAGTGAGATTATTTGGCCCACCTGGAAGCTAATGTAAATGTCCTGAGCACATTTAAGGTAGGCTGGGCAGAAGGTGCGTTACCGTATTTTGCTGTGTATATGTGCAATATTTTGACCAAATTTTTGAGGGAAAAATAAGGATACACATTATACATGGGTAGTACTAATTCCATTTCTATACAGATGTTTTTACTTCTTTTATTTATGCTTATGCAGTAAAAGTGTAACACTAGAGAGCAATAACAATGTTATACGCAAAAGAATACCCTGGAATATGTCAGTCAATTTTGTTTCTAAATATAAATAAGTAAAAAATTGAATTAAAAATTAAAACAAAAGATTTTTCTCCTGAAAGTTTGGGCCAAAAATGTGGGTGTGCACTATACACAGAAGTGCATTATACATGGCAAAAAATGGTAAATGCAGTTTTGACTCACTATATTTTCAACTTACAGTGGATATATTGAGGTGTAACCTCATCATAAGTCAAGGAGCATCTGTATTGCCTTAAGGAACACCACAATCCTTTATTCATTTCTATCACTATTTAAATATATTAGTGATTCTGGGTCAAATTTGAAAATCAAAACCATGAACTTCACAGATATCTCTGAATAAGCACAGTAATTTTAAAGAATCAACTAATTTGCAGGGGTGTCCAACCTGCAGCCTGTGCACTGCATGCAGCCCAGGATGGCTGTGAGTGCAGCCCAACAAAAAATTCTAAATTTACTCAGAACACAAAGATATTTTTTTGTGGTCATGTGTTGTAGTGTATTTAATGTGTGGCCCAAGACAGCTCTTCTTTTCCTAGTGTGGTGCAGAGACACCAAAAGGTTGGACACCCCTGCTAGAGGCGTGACTATTATAAATTAAGGAGTGGTCCTTTCCCTCCTGCTTCACTTGACTTTACTCATATCTAACCCTCCAGATATGACTTCTAGGTAATGGCTATCTCTTATTGAAATGTCTTTCTTCCTTCTTGTTACAAATCTGAACCAGGGTGTACTTCTATGCAGTTTTTCTAACATGCCCAGTACTGATTAGGCACACCTTATCGTTTAAAGCAATCAGAAGTTCAGTGTTATGAAAGACAGCACACATGTGTACACATGAATTCTGGTTTAGTCTCAGCTATGGACATGTGGCAAAGATATGGTCCTTCTGATTCCCTGAAGCTTCTCTGCAAAGTGTGGAGATGCATCTTTTTCCTATAACCTACTGTTCCCTTCAGAGAAAAGAAAGTTTCCATATGACTTTCTAATTCAACACAGCTGAACTAGATTTAATTCAGATTTGTCCTCCCTTTCAAATTATAATCACAAAATGAGTGAATTTTTTTCAGTTGTCTAGAAAAGCATTATCATTATAACATTCACCAGAATATTCATGAATTAATATACTGATGTCTCAATTCAAAAACCAAATTCAAGCAAAACCCAATCTACATACTTATAACAGGAAGTACCACATCCAACTAATAAACTTTAGCCCACAGCTCTATTGGTCAAATTCAATTATTCCCTTTTTGGAGGTTTCTTAAATAGTTTCCTATCCTCGGTTTATGAGCACTACTTTTCTTCTGAAGTTCTTTTATTTTATTCTTTCTAACTGAACCACAGATGGCACCCTTTTTCATAATAAATCCTCAGTCTTTATTTAAGCTTATTAAATGTGTTATACAAAGATTGCTTCCTGTTATCCATTTTAATTTTGTTTTTCCCTCCCACCTGCTTATGTCTTATCTCCATGGTAAGACGAGGATCCTTATGCCACTTCTTGTCTTGCTTTCCATTCATTCCAAGATCTTCCAACATCCCAGAATCCACCACATCTTTATGGAGCAGATGGTCTATAAATTTTTGAACGGTGGTACTTTCCTCTTCTTCCTCCAAATAGCCACAGAAATCTGGGGGAAATAGAAAAATGACAAAAAAAAGAAAAAAAATTAAATTTAAAAATGTTAAGATAATTTCCATATTTATATAAACAATGCTGGTACAATAAAAATACAATAGTGTTAGTGTTCAATACATAGTAACTGATAATGCCAATTGGATGAGTATAGTCCTCACCAATTAACTGCACTGAGAGGGAAAATACCTCTACTCATGAAGAACTGCCCTCACCCATGTCACTAAAGACTTCCTCACAAATTTATTTAATCTAAACATCCTTGAGGACTCGGTTACCTTTTTTGTTTTTAATCCTCACCTGAGGACATATTCTTATTGTTTTTAGAAGTGGGGGTGGAGAAAGAGAAGCATCGATTGGTTTCCGTTCCATGTACGCCCCTACCGGAGATCAAACCCAAGACCTTCTGGTCTATGGGACAATGCTCCAACCAACTGAGCTACACTGGCCAGGGCTCTATTTTTTTTTTAAATGACAATTGCAGTTGTAATTAACAAATAAGCTAAATATTTAAAAGTTTACAATAAGTTTTGACATACACATATACCAATAAACCGTTAATACAATCAAGATAATGAACACATCTGTCAGCCTCAGAAACGTCCTCATGCTTATTTGTAACTCTTCTTCCCATTCTTCCCCAAGCTCTCTGCCCTAACCCAAGCAAACACAGACCTGCTTTCCATCACTACAGATTAGTCACATTTTCTAGAATTTTGTATCATTTAAATCTATGCTATGTACTCTTGGGGGTGGGGGAGGTCAGGCTTCTTTTACGCAGCGTAATTATTTTGAGATTCACCCATGTTGTATCAATGGTTTATCTCTTTTTACTGCTGAGTAGTATTCCATTGCAAATGTATACCACAGCTTATTCAATCCTTCATCTGTGGAAATAACATTTTGGTTATTTCCAGATTTGGGCTATTACAAATAAAGTTGTTATGAACATTTATGTACAAGTTCTTATATAAACATGTCCTTTCTCTTCCCTTGGGAAAAGAAACTTTTTAAGAAACTGCCAAACTGTTTTCCAAAGTGGCTATATGATTTTATATTCTCACTAGCAGTATAGGAATGTACCAGTTCTTCTACATCCTTACCGATACTTAGTAAGGTCTTTTAATTTAAACCATTTTAATAGGTATGTAAATGGTAGTTTTAACTTGTGTTACCCTAACAATTCACAATACTGAACATCTTCCTTGTTGATGTTCTGTTTAGTACACTATGTAGTTACATACACTATTAAAAATAGGATATTGCCCTGACTGGTGTGGCTCAGTGGGTTGGGCACCATCCTGTAAACCAAACGGTTGCTAGTTTGATTCCTGGTCAGGGCACAAGCCTGGGTCGTGGGCCAGGTCCTTGGCTGGGGTCATGCAAGAGGCAACCAATTGATGTTTCTCTCTCCTTTTCTTCCTCCCTCCCTTCTCCTCTCTCTAAAAATAAATAAATAAAATCTTAAAAATAAAGTAAAATAAAATGGGGTATTGAAGTTTCTAGCTGATATTGTTGAACTACCTATTTCTCCCTCCAATTTTGTCAGTTTCTGCTTCACATATTTTGGGACTCTTTTGTTACATATACATACGTTTATGCTTATGTTTTCTTGATGAACTGACCCTTTGTTCAATATAAAATGCCCTTTTTTGTCTCCAGTAACACTTTTTTTAAAAAAAATCTTGGTCTATTTTTTTTCTCGTATTAGCAAGCTGCTCTTGCTCTTTTTCTGGTCACTGTTTACATAGTTATCTTTTTCCACCCTTTTACTTTCAACCTTTTTATATCTTTGAAACTAAATTGTGTCTCCTATAGATAGCATATAGGTAGGTCATGTTTTTAAATTCAATCTGCCAATCTGTCTTTGATTGGAATCTTTAATTCATTTATATTTAATATAATTCCTGATAAGGAAGGAAATACATTTATCATCTTGGTATTTCTTTTTGATATGTCTTATGTAAATGCCCTTTGTTAAGTTAAAGAATTTACCTTCTATTACTAGTTTGTTAAGAGTTTTTAATTAGGTCAAAGTACTTTTCCTATGTCTACTGAGATAATCACATGTTAATTAATATTTTTGGTAAGCATCGTTTTATGGCTACACAATAATTTTGTTTAATGTTTTACTAAAAAAATTGAAATTAAATTAAACTAACTCCCCCAAAACAAAACTCTATAAGCATAAGATGAGTGAGATCTGGTATGACACTAGGCAGTAATAGCCAGCCTAAGTAAAGAGACATAACTAGCTGTATTAGCACCATAGGAAAGAAAATAATAGTTTCACTACATTTCATATATGCTTCAGAATAAATATGAAGTACTAAAATGCCTCACTTTAATAATGACATTAATAAACTAGAAAACATTCAGAAGGTGGCAACTGGGATAAGATCTAGACACGATTAGATAATAAAGAACTGTTGAGAGAACTGGGGTTAATTCAATCTAGGAGCAGTGGGGTATATGAGGGATCAGATATTATTACAGCTTCCACAAAAACATAAAGACTGTTCTTGAGATAGGGAATACATTATTATTTTCTGTGGCATTATAGGGTAAAAGTTACTGAGGACAACTTCTGGCCAAGATGGAAGCGTAGGTAGACACACTGTGCCTCCTCACACAATCAAAAGGACAACAACAAATTTAAAAACAAAAAATGACCAGAACTGCCAGAAAGTCAAGTGTATGTAAGTCCATACACTTGGTTACAACCAAGTGTAACAGGGTGTGGTCAAGGGGGGGGCAAATAGGGATTTCTAATGGGGTCCAGAACTCAGAGTGTTCAGGAAATATTAGAGAAAAATATATATATGATGTCCTTACCCCCACCAGTCTGAGCTGGGGGATGGGACACATGGAGCAGGGCCATAGAGAGCTGTTTTGTATAGTAACAGCTTTGCAGCTTTTGGCATCACCATTTAACATATCTAAAGCCTCTAACTGGTTTCATAGATATGTTAAATAGCTGTGGCCATGCTTTGAGCCAGGGGGATGGGAGTGACTTCAACCCAGGATATAACTGGGAAGCAACTCCCCCTGGTTACAGCGCCTGCGTGAGAGCTTGGAGATGACTGGCTCCAAGCCATGGGGCCATGCCTCCCGGACTTACTATGGCAGCCCACCAAAGCTGGAAGGATACAGGAATGCTGGAAGGTGTGGGAGGAGTTGGAAATGGGGCTGCAGAGGAAGATTGGCACTGGGATTTAAACCCAGATGCAGAAGCCCTGACAGGAATCACCAAGTGGGTTCGGGTTGCTACCTGTTGCCATGTAGCTTAGGAAGTAGGAGAGACTTTGCCTGGAAGAAAAGGAGTGAAAGGACTCTTGCTGATGGGCCATGAGAAGGTGCCACATGGCTTTGGATTAACTGGAGATTGTGGTGATGACACAGCTGATGGTGCCAGGAGCCTGAATCATGGACTTCTACTTTTTTTTCTGAGATACAGTACCCTAGACTGGGCAGAGGGAGAAGGAAGGACTTTGTGTATTTGTGGGTATTCTAAAGAACTTTAGTATTTTAACGAAGACATTAAGTCATTACTCTAAGTCTGTATAACCTTTGAATAAATAATTCCTTTCCTTTTCACCAATCTCTGGCATTGAGAGATGTCTTTCTTCTGGTAGCAGGCAAAGCAAACCTAGTACGGGGGGGGGAACCCCTGGAGAAAAAGGGGGAGTCCTTTTGGTAACAGTATATCATTCACTCCCCCCAGGGTCTGTTCTGTAACACAAGGAGTTAAAGAAGAAACATTCATCCAGACCTGTAGGAGGGCCAGGAATGGGAACCCGGGGCAGAGAGGACTCAAGGCAAGGCCGCAGCTGGAGAAACGGTGGGTGACAGGGCAGCTGGCAGATGGGGCAGTCCACATTTGTGTGCAGATAAACTGGGAGAAACAACTGGGAAGCAAGACAGACAAGCAACCCAGAGTTCCAGCGCAGGGAAATAACGCCTCAAAACCTCTGACTGAAAAAATCTTTGGGGGTTGAGGCTACAGGAGAAACCCCCAGCCTCAAAGGAGAATTCATTGGAGAGACCCACAGGGTCCTAATGCACACAAACCCACCCACCCAGGAATCAGCACCAGAAGGGCCCAATTTGCTTGTGGGAGGTGGGGGAAGTGACTGAAAGTTGGCCAAGAGCTGAGCAAGTGGCATTGTTCCCTCTCAGGCCCCTCCCACACATACAGCGCCACCAAGCAGCAACGAGGGTTGCCCTGTCCTGATGAACACCTAAGTCTCCGCCCCTTACTACGTAACAGGCATGCTGAGACAAAAATGGCCCAAATGAAAGAACAGATCAAGATTCTAGAAAAAATACAGCTAAGCGACAAAGAGATAGCCAACCTATCAGATGCACAATTCAAAACTCTGATAATCATGATACTCACAGAACTGGTTGAGCTCAGTTGCAAAATGGAGGGGAAAAGTGAAGGCTATGAAAAGTGAAATAAACAAAAGTATATAAGGAACCAACAGTGAAGGGAAAGAAACTGGGACTCAAATCAATGCTTTGGAACAGAAGGAAAAAATAAATGTTCAACTAGAACAGAATGAAAAAACAAGAATTCAAAAAACTGAGGAGAGGCTTAGGATCCTCTGGGACAACTTTAAATGTTCCAACATACGAATTATAGGGGTGCCAGAAGAAGAGGTAGAGCAACAAGTGGAAAATTTATTTGAACAAATAATAAAGGAGAACTTCCCCAATCTGGCAAAGGAAATAGACTTCCACGAAGTCCAAGAAGCTCAGTGAGTCCCAAAAATGTTGGACCCAAGAAGGAACACGCCAAGGCATATCATAATTACATTAGCCAAAGTAAAAATGAGGGAGAGAATCCTAGAAGCAGCAAGAGATAATGAGACAGTAACCTACAAAGGAGTTCCCATAAGACTGTCAGCTGATTTCTCAAAAGGGACCTTGCAAGCAAGAAGGGGCTGGGAAGAAGTATTCCAAGTCAGTAAAGGCAAGGACCTACATCCCAGATTACTCTATCCAGCAAAGCTATCATTTAGAATGGAAGGACAGATAAAGTGCTTCTCAGATAAGGTCAAGTTCAAGGAGTTCATCACCACCAAGCCCTTATTATATGAAATGTTAAAGGGACTTATCTAAGAAAAAGATGATCAAAAATACCAACAGTAAAATAAAATTAGCATTTAAAAATCAAAACCAAAATATGAATAGTAAAATGACAACAAACTTAAACTATCAACAACTAAACCTAAAAAAACAAAAACGAACTAAGCAAACAACTAGAACAGGAACAGAGTCACAGAAATAGAGATCACATGGAGGGTTATCAGTGGGGAGGGAAGGGAGAAGGAATAGGGGGAAAGGTACAGGGAATAAGAAGCATAAATGGTAGGTACAAAACAGATGGGGAGGTTAAAAATAGCATGGGAAATGGAGAAGCCAAAGAACTTATACGTATGACCCATGGACATGAACTAAGGGGGGAGGATTCTGGTGGCAGGAGGGGTACAGGACAAAGAGAATAAAGGGGAGAAAAAAATAGATAACTGTAATAGCGTAATCAATAAAATATATTTAAAAGAGTTTAAAAAAAGTTCCTGAGGATAAAATTCTAACTCTCCCAACTAAGAGAAAATGCAATGAAGAGTAGAGCCTCACAACAGCAGAAGGGGCCCCTCCAAAGAGCAGGCCCTCTGTCTTGGGAGGTGTTCAGGCAGAGATTGTATCACCCCACGTTAGGTGTACTGTAGAAGGATCTCTGTGTAGGGGGTGAAGAGAATAGATCAGGCTAGGTGATCTTGAAGGATTTCTCTAACTTTAAGAGCTCATGACTTTGTGATTCCTGAGCCGGTGATATTGAAGATTCCTAACAAAGGGAACGCTGCCAGGTGTGTTCACCAAGGGAGTCTGAGCAATGCATGAGGAGCTGCCACCACTGTCACCCTGCCTACCATTATGCTCAGGGGAAAAAGTCTCAAGACTCTGGCTACATTTGAGGAATCATCACAAGTTAGTTATTTAACCTGTCTGACACTAGCTCTGTGTACAAGGAATAACTTTTTTATAAAGATATATAAAGGACTTTATAAATATAAAATGATCTATGGGTGTTTAAATGCAGTGTCCAAAGTAAATAGTCATCTGACAACATAGGATGAAGCACTCTTAAACAGCATTACTTACCATTATAATCATAAGAATTATAAATCATAGAGTATTTTAAAGAACATCATGAATTTACTGAGGATATAGATAATTTAAATTGAATCAAGAAAAATTAAAGCCAATTATAAACATAAGCAAAACACTGAAAAGCTAAATAACATATTTATTATTCAAAACAATTGAAAATAAACACATCCTTGCCCTGACCAGTGTGGCTAGTTGGTTGGGTGTTGTCCTGGACAGTGAAAGGTTGCCAATTTGATTCCATGACAGGGCACTTGCCTAGGTTGTGGGTTCAGTCCCTGGTTGGGGTGCACATGACACTCATCCAATAGATGTTTCTCTGTCACACTGATGTTTCTCTCCCTTTCTTTCTCCCTCCCTTCCCCTCTCTCTAGAAATAAATAAAATCTTAAAAAAAAAAGACATCTTAGACACATTCATTGGATGTTAAAGCTTAGAACAATGAGATCAGTTCTTACCATCAAACTTGTCATGTTTTAAATGACCACTGGCTTCTAAAACAGGAGGGATACTTGACACAGTGTCTTCAGCTTCCCCATCACTTGCTAGTTCATGCTTAAGTTTGGTGTCTAGCCACTCACGGACCAGCTCCTGAGCTACCAATGAAACAAAAACATTCTTTTAGTATTTCAGTTACTTCAGGGACCGTTCATCATTCACTGTTTTCATTCATTCAGTAAATATTAATTGAGCACTGATCATTTGTCCAGATGCATTGTTCTTGATGCTAGAAATACAGCAGTGAACAAAACAGGAAAAATTACACCTACACCAGAAAGCTTACATTCTAATTGGGGAAGAGAGACCATGAACAAGTAGAGCAGAAGAGCAGGGTCCTGGCTGGTGTGGCTCAGTAGCTTGAGCACTGGCCTGTGAACCAAAGGGTTACCAGTTCGATTCCCAGTCAGGACACATGCCTGGGTTGTGGGCTGGTTCCCAGCAGGGGGCAAACGAGAGGCAACCATACACTGATGTTTCTCTCCCTCTCTTACTCTCTCTAAAAATAAATAAATAAAATCTTAAAAAAAAAAAAAGAAAATCAAAGCAGGAGAAAAAGAAATAGTATATAAGAAATGGAAGATAGGTGTTGGTAGTTTTAAATTGGGTAGTAAAAGGAGGCCTCACAAAGAAGATATTTTAGCAAAGAAGGGGAGGAAGTGAGGGTGTGAGTCATATGGATATGTAAGGGACATTATTCCATGCCTAAGGCAGGCGAGTGTTTAGTGTGTTGGAGAAATAGTAAGGTGGCATTGTAGTGGGAGAGGAGTGAGTGAAGGGCATTGGGAGAAAGGGGAGAAGATGAGGTGGTAGTGGTAATATGGGAATCAGGATTAGAGCAGTGGTTCTAGATTAGGGCAAAAATGGGCTCCAAGGGACATCTGGCAATGCCTGAAGCCATTTTTTGTTGTCACAACTGGAGGAGATGATATTGGCATTTAGCAGGTGGAGACCAGGGACGCTGCTAAACATCCTACAATGCACGTGGCAGCACCAACAAAAATTATCTGGCCCAAAATGTCAACAGTGTCGAGGCTGAAAACCCTTTCTTTAGAGTCCTGACACCATTCTAGGTACTTTGGCTTTTACTCTGAATGCAATGGGAAGCCCCAGGAGGGTTGTGAGCAACCAGGCCACTCTGCCTAGTATGTTGAAATAAACTATAGGGGATACACATGGAGGCAGGGCATACCAACTGGAGGACAAATGCAATGATCTAGGAGAGGGGTGATGATGGCCGGGACCTGGAGAAGAGCTATTAAAAATGGTAATATTCTAAAAAATAATGTTTTGAGGTAAAGTTGACATGATTTGCTGATGGACTGGATGTGGAATGTGAGAGAAAAAAATGTACAGGTTTTTGGCCTAAGCATCTGCAAGAATGGAGATACCACTTACTGAGCCAGGGAAGGCCAAGGGAACAGCAGGTTGGGAGGAAGGTCAGGAGCTCAGTTTTAGACTTGTTAGGTTTGAGATGCTTATGAGATATCTAAACAGGGATGTCAAATAGGTATTTCAGGGGAGAGGTGAAGAAATCCAAGCTGAAGAAATTAATGTGGGTGCTATTAGTATACAGATGGTACCTAAAGCTGTAAAAGTGGATGGAGTTGCCAGAGGAAGGTGGATAGAAACTAGTTCAAGGACGAACCCTGAGGAACTGCAGTATTTATGGGCCGCAGAGATAAGGCAGAACCAGGAAAGCAAACTAGGAGGGAGTGGTCATTGAGACAGGAGACAAAAAACTGAATGTGATATCCCAAAAGCCAACTGCATTTGGATTTCTTTCCTAGTGATATCAAGAAAAATCTTAAATATATAGGTGAGAAACATCTACTTTAGTATTACCTTCTTCATTTCCAAAGTTCTTATGGGTATGGTACGGGGGTTTCAAAAAAGAAAAATATTCCCCCCAAAATTTATTTATAAAAAATTGTGTATTTATTCTTACATGTTTAAAATTCAGTCACCTTCAAAGTTCTCTCCATTTGATGCAATACACCTACTGAGATGCACTGCCACTGCTCAGAACAGTTTTTGAACTCTTCAATTTTGGTGGCTTTTAGTGCTTCTGCCATTGTTTTCTTTCACTTTTTCCACATGGGCAAAATGTTTCCCTTTGAGGACTTTTTCATCCAGGGAAACAAACCAAGGGAAAAGAAAAGTCACTTGGGGTGAGTTTAGGTGAACAGGGAGTACAGGGCATTGGAGTCATGCCGCTTCTGGTCAGAAACACTGAGCACAGTGTGGGCAGGTGCACTGGTCAATTACCCACCATGAAAGGGGCAATGGGTTGAAACGGTCTTCACACTGAGGCTGAACCCAGCCTCTCACGATAACACCAGTTGGTACACTCATACAGATTGGTTTCTAGAATACTCACCTAGCAGGGGAAGTCTGTACTACCAGGGGCGTGCCCTCCAGAAAATTATTCCATTTGGGGAGTTCCCCCCTCATATGTCAGCATTATCTTCATCATTAGTATCATTAACACATAGCTCTGAGAGAATGGAATGTTTCTAATATATTAAATGATGCGAAAAGACACTTAATATAGATAGCTATGATACATAAAGTGGGAAAAAATGAATTAAGGTAGTAGAAAGTAGATGTAAAACGTATACTAGCAGCAAACATTTTTGGCTTTCAGAGGAAAGCAGAGAAAGGGAACAGACATTTATTGAGTAACCCTGTGTATAATTCAGATATTTAGGTGTATGATAACTTATATATAGAATAATCATATCTACTAAACACACTTCATTGGTAAATAGAGGTTTATAATAGTCCCGCACCCCCTTACCCATGGGAGAAATGTTCTAAGACCCCCAGCAAATGCCTGATACAGTGGACAGTACCAAATCCTATGTGTACTGTTTTATCCTATACATACATACCTATAATAAAGTTTAGTTTATAATTAGGCACAATAAGAGATTAACAGTAACTAATGGTGAAACAGAACAGTTATAACAATACACCGTGATAAAATTTATGTGAATGTAGTTTTTCTTTCAAAATATCTTATTGTTCTACATTCACCTTTTTACTTAAAGGAAGCACTTACAGCTTCTTTGGCATATCTGAATTGCCAGCATCACTACTCTTGTACTTTGGGGCCATTATTAACTGAAATAAATGTTACTGGAACACAAGCATTGTGATACTATTGCATTCTACCTGGTAACCAGGACAGCTACTAGGTGACTAAGGGGAGGGCAGTGATTTTCAGTGCGGATAAGCTGGACGAAGGGATGATTCACATTAAAACAAAGCAGACAGTGAGAGATTTCATCCTCTACTCAAAATGACATGCAAGTTAAAATTTATGCATTTTATTTATTTATGGAATTTTCCATTTAATATTTTTTTGTGGAAAGTGAAACCATGGGCAAGGGGGGACTACTATGCTATTAAGCGTTCCAAAAGAGTAAAAATGGTAACTTTCCCTGGAGTGCTCAACTGTAGGAACTCCTCACGCTGGACCAGAGGAAGGGTACAGAAGGCTTACTTAAAGCAGAATTTCTCAAAGGACGTTCTCAGAACACTAGCTCGTGTAGGATATTAACAGCTAGTTGATGAGAGGCAAAGAGGATAAAAACCTTCAAAAACCACATTCCATCCATATACCAGTACTTCCTAACGCGGTCACTAATTTCTCCAGATAATAACAGGTATTTCTGGATAAAAAGTTTCGTGGTATAGGAAAGCTGAGAAATGGGATAAGTAAAAACATTTTTAACTGCAGGACTCCTCAGAAGTATATTGTGTAATCTTGTTGGCGGAATGGAAAGTAGGATGGGTAAGACATCCCTTGCCAATTTCTGAATCCAGCTTGTCCCTCCGTCTCCAGCACTACCAACCACCCAGGACCAGGAACTATTACTGCCACCCCAGCTACTGCCACAGCCTCCCACTATTCTCCTTTTTCCCACTTTTTCTCCTCTATAATAAATTTTTAATATATTTAAAAAAGTTATCCTATTAAAACTTTTCAATGCTTAAATTATCCTGCTTAAAACCTTTCAATGATGCCTCATCATACTCTGAAGAAAATCTAAATTCTTTTTGTGGGTTCATAAGGCGCCGTGTGACATGTCTCCTGTGTGACATGTCTCCTGTGCACTCCTGCAAGCCCATCTCTCTTGGGAAGCTCCAGCCACACTGGTGACCACACTGGTCATCCTTCAGTTCTTTCAGCTTGTCTATACTTTAGCTCTTTTTTTTTTTTTAGATTTTATTTATTTATTTATTTTTAGAGAGAGGGTACCGGAGGGAGAAAAAGAGAAGCATCAATGTGTGGTTGCCTCTCACGCACCCTCTACTGGAGACCTAGCCTGCAACTCAGGCAGGTGCCCTGACTGGGAATCAAACCAGCAACCCCTTAGGTCACAGGGTGGCGCTCAGTCCACTGAGCCACACCAGCCAGCGCTGTACTCTAGCTCTTGATGCCACCTTTTCCTCAGCTTGGGATGTTCTTCCTCCATCACTGCTCAGACAGCTCTTTCTTGTTATTCTGGTCCAGACTTGAATTATTTGTCACTATCTGATAATTTTTAAAATTTTTTCTTATTCTCACACTAAAATGTTTACTGCATAAAAACCAAGGCTTTGCCTGCCTTGTTCACAACCTGTTCCTCTAGTGCCTAAAATAGTTCCTGACACTGAATAGATTTAAATATACATGTGTTGAATAAAAGAAGTAAACTGAATAATTGGAGACATAAATAATCCAGATGGAAGTTGGCTTCCAGCACATGGTACTGACTTTCCTCCTGTCTCTATGGCCTCTTCTTCCCAGGCTTTTTCTGCTAGTTCCTCCTAATTTCTTCTTCCCTAAACAGCGGAGTTAGTCAGGGCATCAGTAACTAAAACACTAAACTGCAGAGGAATAAGTGCTTTGGGGAGGTAGGAAGGTTAGGTCAGTTGTAGGCTCTCTTCATAAGGAACAAAGGTGAATTATAAACCAGTGGTCAAATTCACAGGCTGCCCTCTGAGCCACCATGAATACCTTCCAACACTCATCAGTTAGCTGTTACTTATGTCAAATTGCCTCTGGCTGTGGTTCTATTTCAGAAGACAAAATGGACCTTAAACACAGCGTAACCTGTAATACTGAGTTAATTCCAGAGTAAATTAGCTTCAGGGAAGTAAAGTAAACAAAACTTAAGAAGAAGAGAAAGAAAAGCTTTCTTTCATACTTTGGAATTCATTATAGGTTATGCTGTAATAGGTTGTACTCCAAAGAACTGTTAACTTCAAAGCAGGAAAATGTAGTCTCTCACCTTCTGCATAGACTTCATCATGATCCTCTATTTGCTCAGATGTTTCCAAATCTATATTTTGGCCCCAAAGCCTTCTGAATAAATCAGAACTTCCAGCAGAAAATGCTTTCAAAACTCCAAATTCTGAAGCTTTCTCCACTTTCTTTAATATAACAGAAAAAAAATCCATTAAGATGACAACTTTGTACAGAGTTAGAAAATTTCTCTCCAACCCTCAAGAATCTGATTTTTTACCAGCTACTAAAATACTTTCATTTTTCCATTTCTGCAGGGACTGTGAGGCTTAAACATCCACCCTAAATAATTCCATTCATTAAACATGAAATTAATTATAGTATTTTACCAGGTGTTCACAACGTTTGTATTAGAACAAAATGTTATTTAAGCTTTAGGTAACTTTTGCTAAGCATTAGTTATGGGATTTGACACTTGAATATTTTATTTTAAATAAAAAATATACTATTAGTTTCCATGCTACTGAAATTTGCATATGAATGTGAGGCAGAGGTAGAGTAGCTATACTTCCTTGAATTACTAACCTGAAAGAAGTATTCCACCATATGGGCAAACTATAGGCTAAATAAAATTGGGATAAAAAGTCTCTGAACTTTAGTCTTCAGAATATTTTAAGTCAACAGTAAGGATCTAGTAGAAACAAGGCCAAATTCAGGGGCTTGGAGGAGCGGATGGCAGAGGTGCACAAACTTTCTCAGCATTTTGGCTTACCCACACAGTATAAAAGAACTTATTTCCCAATTAAAGCCCTGCTTTCCCCCTTCCCGTCTCCATAAACCTGCTTTCCTCCATGTCTTCTGTGTCCTAGGTCTTCTAACTCGGGTAGTGACAACTCCGTTCTTTCAGTTCCTCAAAAACCTTCTTGAATATGGTTTTTCTCTCACTCTTTCTTTCTTAACCCACATACAGGAAAACTGTTGACTCTATTTTGAAAACATATCCAGGATCTGACCCCTTCTCATCACCTCGACAGCTATTACTCTAGTTCAAGGCACCACAATTTCTTGACTGGGTTTCTGTAACAGCCTCCAGCACAGCAGCCAGAGACCACTTTAAATGAAAGGCATAACATGTTAGAAGTGCTCTCAAACCCTTCCATGGCTCCCTATTTCACTCAACTCAGAATAAAAACCTAAGTCCTTATATCAAGCTTCAAGGTCCTGCACCACCAGGTCCTTTGTGAGTTCTCCAACCTCCTTCTCTCTATTCTTCCCATTGCTCCCTCGCCTTCAGCCACACTAACCCCTGTGTTCCTTCCTCCTCAGATATGCCCAATATGTTCCCACCTCAGGACCTCTGCACTGAACTTCCCTCTGTGGACAGCTGTCCCCCAGATATCTGTATGACTTGTCCCCTCGCCCCCCACCCCAATCTTGAGTGTCCGCTTTGTAGTAAGGCCTTCACGGATGATCCTGTATGGATTTGCAACCACCCCCTCATGGCTCTCCCTATTCCCCTTCTGCTTAGACTTTATAGCACTTAAGACCTTATAATATATTTGTCATTTGTTGCTCTGCCTAAGTAGAATGTAAACAGAAATTTTTGTCTTTTACATGCATGAAACCCCTAACACCTAAAAAGTATTTGGAACATAACAGGTGCCCACAAATATCTGTTAAAGAATGAATACATGAGGACTTCCAGCAAGATGGAGGCATAGGTGGACGCACCGTACCTCCACGTACAACCAAGATTAGAACAACAACAATTTAGAGGCAGAATAACACCCAGAACTGATAGAGAATTTATCTGAATGGAAGTCGGACTGCCAAGAAGTTGAAGTAGACTCGTTCATCCAGACCAGTAGGAGGGGCGGAGAGGAGCAGCCCAGTGCGGGTCGCAGCGAGAGGAGAACAGGGAAAACTGGGCGCATAAGGCATCCAGGAGCGCGTAAGGCATCTGGGGCGCGCAAGATCGCAGCGGATGGACCCTGAGTGTGCAAGCGGCAGCTGGCGGACCCAGTGAGGCAGCGATTGTGGACTAGGGCAGAGTGTGCAACCCAGGATCCCAGAGAAGGAACTGAGGTCGCAGGAGAATGGAGCTACCGCCATTGTTCCCTCCCACCCCCGCCCCCACCCCCATATACAATGTCACAATCTAGCGACTGGGGTGCCCAGCCCTGGTGAATACCTAAGGCTCCGCCCCTCACCATAACAGGAGCCACCAGACCCCCCCCCCAAAAAAAGAGAGAGACATGTCTCAAACAGGAGAACAGATCAATGCCCCAGGATTCATCATTTTAAGCGACTAAGAGATAGCCAATCTATCAGACGCACAGTTCAAAACACTGGAGATCAGGAAGCTCACAGAATTGGTTGATTTTGGACGCAAATTAGATGAAAAAATGCAGGTTACCATAAAAGAGATGAAGGAAAATGCATGGAGAACCAATAGTGATGGGAAGAAAACTGGGACTCAAAATAATAGAGTGGACCAGAAGGAAGAAAAAAACAACCAAACAGGAAAGAATGGAGAAATAAGAATTCAAAAAAAAAAATGAGAAGCTTAGGAACCTCCAGGACATCTTTAAACGTTCCAACATCCAAATTATGGGGGTACCAGAAGGGGAAGAGGAAAAGCAACAGATTGAACACGTAGTTGAACAAATAATAAAGGAGAACTTCCCCATTCTGGCAAAGAAAATAGACTTCCAGGAAATCCAGGAAGCTCAGAGAGCCCCAAAGAAGTTGGACCCAAGAAGAAATACACCAAGGCACATCATCATTACATTAGCCAAGGTAAAAATGAAGGAGAGAATCCTAGAAGCAGGAAGAGATAAGGGGACAGTCACCTACAAAGGAGTTCCCATCAGACTGTCAGATGATTTCTCAAAAGAAACCTTCCAGGCAAGAAGGGGCTGGAAAGAAGTATTTCAAGTTATGAAAGACAAGGACCTATATCCCAGATTACTCTATCCAGCAAAGCTTTCATTTAGAATGGAAGGGCAGATAAAGTGCTTCTCAGATAGGGTCAAGTTAAAGGAGTTCATCATCACCAAGCCCTTATTATATGAAATGTTAAAGGGACTTATCTAAGAAAAAGAAGATAAAGAAAAAATATGTATAGTAAAAGGACAGCAAAATCACAATTATTAACAACCACACCAAAAGCAAAACCAAAAGAAACTAAGCAAACAACTAGAACAGGAACAGAACCACAAAAATGGAGATCACATGGAGGGTTAGCAACAGGGGAGTGGGAGGAGGAGAGAGGGGGAAAAGATAGAGAGAATAAGTAGCATAGATTGTAGGTTGAAAATAGATAGGGGGAGGGTAAGAATAGTATGGGAAATGTAGAAGCTAAAGAACTTATAAGTATGACACACGGACATGAACTAAAGGGGGGGATGTGGGTGGGAGAGGGTGTACAGAGTGAAGGGGAGTGAAGGGGGAAAATGGGACAACTGTAATAGCATAATCAATAAAATATATTTAAAAGAAAAAAAAGAAATGAATAAATGAAAAATTTATTTTAAAAAGTAGCATTTTCCCATAGTTTACATTGTCACTACACCTATTTTGAAAATAGGCTTGGTATGGCCAATGTTGGCATGGACTTTCCATTGTAAGTATCAAGGTTTTCATATATGAAGTTTAAATCAGAAGCAGAGAAATAGTTAAAATGTCAACGGGGATTTGAAAAATATGTAAAAAATAGAACACACAGGAAAGGAAATGATGGTGGCAGGTATATGCCATTTATTGGATGGTTACAAAATGCTTGGTACACAGTCCTTCCCCTTAAGGTTCTTAAATTCTAAGACAGGAAGATGAATTTCACATATATTGTATGTGGTCGTATGAATATACACACAAATACAAATAATGTGCAAATAAATCAGTCAACTTTAATTTTTAAACTAACACACATATACAAAAAATAACAGCCCTGGCCAGGCAGCTCAGTGGGTTAGAGCATCAACCCAATACACCAAGGTTGTGGGTTTGATCCCCGGTCAGGGCACAGTGCACATACAAGAATCAACCAATAAATACACAGATAAATAGAACAACAAATTGATATTTCTCTCTTTCGCTCTCCCCTTTCCTTTCTCTCTAAAAATCAGTAAGTAAAAAATGTTTTAAAATAATCTCTATATTTTTTTGTTTTGAAATAGTATGTCCTTACCATGTTTTTTTTTCCCCAAAATAAACATGTAAGAGACAGGAGAGGTCTATCCTAAATTATATTTCAGTGAAACAAACACTGTGTCACTTGAACAAGTTATTCTTTAAGCTAGTTCACTGAATGGTAGCTCTATTGCCAGCTCTGTGGTGAATATTAAGGGAAAAACAAAACTAAAATCTGTTTTCAAAGAGTTCACTTTTCTGTTGGTTTGTTTCCTATACCACGTGCACAGTAAGCAACTCAAAAACAATTCTAAAGCAATACAGGGTGTTTTTTTTTTTAAAAAACAACTAAATACCTTCTAAAGTTTATTACTTAAGCGCTACATTATATATAAGTAATTTGTAAAGGAACTATCTCAGTTATTTCTATGAACTTATAAATTCTCAGGACAGACATACCTTGGATATATTGTGAACTTGATTCCAGACCCCCATAGTAAAGTAAATATCGCAATGAAGCCACACAAAATTGTGGGGCTGTCCAGTGCACATGAAAGTTATGTTTACACTATACTGTAGTCTATTAAGTGTGCAATAGCATTAGGTCTAAAAAAACAATGTACTTAACTTCATTAAAAAGTACTTTGTTGCTAAAAAATGCTAAACATCACCTGAGCCTTCAGCAACTTATAATCTTTTTGTTGGTAGTGGGTCTTGCCTTCGTGTTGATAAAATTGTACTATCTGTGAAGGTCAATAGTGCAGAGCTCAGTAAGATGAGGTATACCCGCATGTGCTCCTCCTATGCCATGGCACACATCAATCCTATTGTCCACGCTACTGGACTCTTTGCAGCCTATCACCATTGATGGCACAAACAGCAGCTACAACACACTCCTTCATTCCCTCGGGGCTCAGAAGTACAGACATGAGTTTCTTGAATGTGCAAATTCCCTGTTCATATATACCAGTTTTAAGAGTAATATATTTTTGAAAGTGCCCATTGCTTTTTAATTTTCTCTGTATCCAAGCAAATGCTTAACACTGCATCTGTGTGTATGAGTGCCAAAATAATTCCAAAGAAAAGAGTATTACAAGATGGGATCAGGTGGTTGAGATGAGGGGAAGTTGTTCACTGAGAGGGACATCTCAAACTGAGCTGTAACAGAAGGAATACCCCAAAGAGGACGGGTATTCCAAGCTTGGGGAGAAGCACAAGCCAAAGCAAAGGGAAGTCTTACATGATGGAGGGAAAGATTAGCTAATGATAGGGAGTCACATAGAGTATCAGTAGAAGGGCTGTAAGAAGTAGGTTGATAGAGGGTCTTAAATGCCAATCTGGATTTAGAGTTTCATCTGATGGCATGTGGAATCACTGAAGGTTCAACACTGAAGAACTGACATGATGAAAATGTTTAAAAAGCTCAGAGCAGCAGAATATACTAGAGTAAGAAGATGAGTCAAACTTCCCATCAAGATGGAGGCATAGGTAAACATGCTTCACCTCCTTGCACAACTATAAAAATTACAACTAGACTACAAAACAAACATCAGAAAATCAAGTTGTATGGAAGTCCAACAACCAAGGATCTAAAGAAACCACATTCATCCAGATGGGGTAGGACGGGTGGAGCTGTGCAGAGTGGAGGAGCAGAGAAGCACAGTGAGGCATGGAAACACGAAGTGGCATGGACAGGAGATGGAACAGGGGTTCTACATTCATGTGTGGTGGATGAAAATCAGGAGGGATCCCCCAGAAGCAAGGGATCTCAGCCCGACCATACAACCCAGGGTTCCAGCATGAGGAAGGTAAGTTTCATTAACATCTGACTGTAAAAACCACTGGTAGTTGGGGCAGCGGAACAAACTGCAGGATTCTCAGGAGACTCCTTTTAAAGGGCCCACAAAGGTCTTAGGACTTACGCAGACCTACCCTCCCTGGAACTCAGCACCAGGGCAGCAGCTGGAAGGGCACAAGTGGCAGATAGGGAGAAAGGGAGAAATTGGCAAGAGGGCAAGCACCGGAGACAGCTTGCTGCTACGTAAATTTCTAGATGCCAGGCAGCAACACTGCCCCTCTCCAGGCCCTCCCCTACACAGTACCACAGAGTTGTAACACGGGTTGCCCTGCTTTGGCAATTACCTAAGGTTCTGCCCCATACAACTTACAGGTGCACTTTTCTACAATAGGCCTGCTACTAAAACAGGGAGTCAAAGCAGCTCTACCTAATACACAGAAACAAACATAAGGAGGCTGCCAAATTGAGGAGACAAAGAAATATGGCCCAAGTGACAGAACAGAGCAAAACCTCACCAAAAGAACTAAACAAAATGGAGATAAGCAACCTATTGGGTGCAGAGTTCAAAACACTGGTCATCTGGATACTCAAAGAACTCACTGGGTACTTCAACAGCATAAAAAAACCCTAAGAGAAATGAAGGTTACAAAAAGTGAAATAAAGAAAAATCTACAAGGAACTAACAGTGGGGAAGCCAAGAATTAAATCAATGATTTGGAACATAAGGAAGAATAAAAGCATTCAATCCGAACAGCAAGAAGGAGAAAGAATTAAAAAAAAAAAGAGGATAGACTAAGGAGTCTCTGGGACATCTTCTAACATAACAACATCCGAATCATAGGGGTACCACAAGGAGAAGAGTAAGGGCAAGAAACTGAAAACTTAGTTGAAAAAAATAATGAAAGAAAACTTCCATAATTTGGCAAAGGAAAGAGACATACAAGTCCAGGTAGCACAGAGTCCCAAACAAGTTGGACCCAAAGAGTGCCATACCAAGACGCATCATAATTAAAATGCCAAAGGTTAAAGAGAGAATCTTAAAAGCAGCAAGAGAAGAGCAGAGAGTTACCTACAAAGGAGTTCCCATAAGACTAGCAGCTGATTCCTCAAAAGAAACCTTGCAGGCTAGAAGGGACTGGCAAGAAATATTCAAAGTGATGAAAAGCAAGGGCCTACAATCTAGATTACTCTACCCAGTAAAGCTATTATTTAGAATGGAAGGGCAGATAAAGAGCTCCCCAGACAAGGTAAAACTAAAGGAGTTCATCACCACCAAGCTATTCTTACATGAAATGTTAAGGAAAGTATATAAGAAAAAGAAGATGAAAACTATCAACATTAAAAAGGCAACAAATTCACAGCTATCAACAACTGAATCTAAAAAAACAAACTAAGCAAACAACCAGAACAGGAACAGAATCATAGATATGGAGATCATTTGGAAGGCTATCACCTGGAGGGGGAAGGAGTAGAATGGGGGAAAAGGTAAAGAGAATAAGAAGCATAAAGGGTAGGTACAAAATAGACAGGTGGATGTTAAGAACAGTATAAGGAATAGAGTAGCCAAAGATATGCATGGCCCATGGACATGAACTACAGGGGAGGATACCTGGAGGGAGTGGGGGTACTGGGCAGAGGGGGAAAAGGAGAAAAAACTAGGGCAACTGTAATAGCATAATCAATAAAATATATTTAAATAAATAAATAAATAAATAAAACAAGATAAGTCAGTCTATCAAATCAGAATGAGGATGAACTGTAAATTGTGGTGGACAGTACCTTTTGGGATGACCTACCCCAGGACTCATAGTTCTGCCAAGCATCTGTCTGATTCTAAGTGCCTTCAACATCCCTGAGGAAGTCCCACTCACATTCTGGCCTCAAGGTTTGTTCTGATGTTCTGTTTTCCAACAACCTTCCCTTTCATTGCACTTTCATTGCAACCCACTGACATGGTCATCCTAAACCATGTTACACAGAATTTTCCATTGGTCAAACCAAATGATGATCATCTCCTCTCCAACATCAATCTCCTATCCATGTCCCTCTTTCACTCCCCCTACTCCACTACACTGGTGTCGCACCTAACCAAGTCGCTATTAACCTATGAGTCCTTTAAAGGGTCTCCTTCCTTTCCTACTCTGCGTTGATATTCAGCTGCTGTCTTTCATAAGCCTCACATCTCCTGTTCTTTTCCCTTCCCAGTGAGAACTTTCAAGCCTGGATCTGATTTAGCAATTTTCAGTACCACAAAAAATTATGGTTACCTGCTTCAGCCAAGTCCCCAGTGCTGTAGTTATATTAACCTTCCTTTTCTGTTCTAAAGAAAGCCCATTCTCAACCTTCACAATCCTCCATGTCTTTTCTATATATTCCCCCCTCTTCTACATAACAAAGTCTTAGCTGATTTTGAGAGGGTGGTCCACTCAAGTAGATTTGGAAGTCTTAGGTTCAGAGGTTATACCTGTTTTAGGGTACACCCAGAATTGAGATATATTAGGAAGCAAAATCAGAAAAGAAGACATAGAAGTTAACAGAGAGGTAGAAAAAGATAGAAAAAACAGTGTTAAAAAAAGATAATGGAGTTCTAGGATAAAAAAAATCGGTAACTATAGCAAATGAACCTTAAAAAGTTTGAGAAGAAAAAGGAGACCATTAGATTTGGTCAGTAAATCATTTATGACAGCAGTTTCTGTGGAGTGGTAAGAAACAAAAACTGGAGTAAAATAGGAATTGTGTACAAAAGAGGATAATAAAAATACAATGGCAAGAAGTCCAGGCTACATATCCAAAGACGGTAGATAAGACAAAGAAATTGCATGACAATCCGAATGGATGCAGGGGTCAAATGAGGACTTGCTGATTTGTTTTCAAGACAGGAGAGTTGAGGACATAATGGAAAAGAACTATTGCAGAAGCTTTAGAAGAATGATAAAAACCTGACCAAGTCATGCTGGCTGACAACTGTATGAAAGAGGAAAATGACTTCACCTAGATTAGCAACCCCTCCACGTGCTTCCATTACATTCTTAATTCTCCCAACAGTTTTAAATTGTTTATCCCCCACTGAACTATAAACTCTGGGAAGGCAGGGACTGTACCTTCCCTATGCACTGTGTATTCCCTTTAGTACTCAAAATAGTGGGCTAGCACTTAGTGAGCACTTAATAAATACTGGGGGCGGGGGGGGGGGGCAGCGAAAAATGGTTAACAATGGTTAACCTATCTGGCCTAGGTTCCATCTGGCCTGCTGCTCATAATACCTATTAATAAGTAACAACTCTTCAAACATTACCAGAGAGAAGACTATTTTGCCCGGAAAGTGCTGCATCATTTTAAACCATGTGGTGTGCAAATGATTTGAGTATGCTAAGTCTCCAGAGTAAGACTCAGAAGCATGAAACTCAAGTGGTTTAATGGTATTTCTACTTAAATGGCAGTTGAACTCAAAAACACTCCTTTCAGGCCTGGAAGAGATCTCAGAGGTTATCTAACCCAATCCCCCCACCCTCTCACTGAATGCTCAGATATATTTTTCATTAGTCCTAACATTAAGTGACCATGTAGAATCCACTGGAATATTTCAGTGGTAGAAAATACTTACAAGAATGTGAAATTCTGTTTTTGGATAGCTCTACTTATTAAAAGATTCTCACTTATGATGCAAACATAGCTTTTACCTATTGTATTGGTCCCACAGGTTAAAGTAACTATAGTATGGTCTTTCCAATGATCTGAGGAATGCCTCTCCTAAGGTTTCTCCTCTCCTCTCCTCTGCTCAACTAAAGAGTATAAAACTAAAGCAACATATGTAGTCACATGGGAACAAAAACAGCAAAATATGTGCAAAACAGAGACCTATTAGTATGCCTTTTCCATCTGATTATGTCTGACTATTAATTGTCTTTCTCTCTTAATTGCGTAATACCCTTACCTTAATCCAGTGTTCCACATTGTCAAGGTCAAAAGCAGGCTGTGGATAATATATACAGAATATTAATACACAGTAATATCATCATCACCTTTGCCATTTTAATCTATCCTTGTTACTGAAGTACATGAGAGTATCCTTTATTCTTCCCCCAAATCATTTCATTAGAAAGTTCAACAACAAAAGAACAAAGAATGATGGTAAGAGGAAGAAACATGGAGACTTCTCTGGGACATCTGAATGTTTTCATCTCCTGCCTAGGCCCACCATATTGACTTAATTGGTCTGGAGTAGAGCCTAGGCATGAGTATTTTTTTAAGCCCCCCAGGATAAAGAGCCAAAACAGAGGAATGCTATGTATAATATTCCTTTTAAAAACCCAAACAAGCACTGAATAATTAACCAGGTTATTTAAGTGTCACAGAAGCAAATCTGCTTACAGAAGGGTGTGTGCTTCTCCTCAGGCCCCTTTCTCAGGAGTAAGATGAGGCTCAGGAGTAAGAAAAGCCTATAACAAGAGGCTTTCCTCTCTTAATTAGAACAAGGATATTGTTTGGTCGAGTACTGGAGAGGAGGGGTGCAGTGAGGGATAATCAATCTTCTACTGTTTTACAAAGCAGAAAATGAAGTGGAAATCATATAAATGCCTATCCAGATCAGTCACATGTTAATCAAACAGGTAATACACCTCCTTCTTAGTAACATTAAAAAGCTTGCAGAATTCCTCCTAATAGTTACTTAATGGATAGAGATATTTGCTTTACTAGTAATTCAGGTGGGTTTTTTAAGAAATAAGAAAATATCTAAATATGGAAGAAGAAAAGATAGAATACTCTTTCACTTACATAACACTTCACCTTCAAAGCACCTTACAGGTAACTAATTAATGGAGTTGTATTACTGGTTCTATTAAAGAATCAAAGAAGTGCTCATTCTATTAGAACATAAGTAAACATCGAGGGGCTCTTGCGTTTTTATCCTTTCATTCTCTAGGAAGTAACAATGAGCACTAGCAGTGAAAATCCTTCCTTTGGAGTCCTAAAAAATTGTCCCAAATTTTTACCTTTCATCAACAAGTCTATATCCATACCTATTTGGATCCAATCCATTATGGAACTGGTACATTACAATAGGAGAAGACTCTGTTTCCAACTCTCCAACACCTCAGTATGCACCCTCCAGTATGTGGGGCAAGATATTCACCAAGTGGAATACATCCAGTGAGTTATATAGCTGGTATATTTAGAATGCACTGCAAGCACAACTTCCTAGGACCCTCAAAAAAGTCACATGTCTATAGATTATATTTTTAAATGTAATTTAAGGGTGAAAACAGCTGGTGAAACTTCTCTGGAGCTGAAAGCTGAGAAGCCAGCTCCATTTCGGTACTCTCACCTACATACAAAGCATTTATTTTTATGGCTGTTAAAAAGGTAGTCTGTGGAAAGCACACATCGGTGTGACCGACTTTACACGTCATTTACGTATATTTCAAGCTTAAAAATGGGGTTACCAGTTTTCCATGCTTTGGATGCTAATGCATCAAAGGACGAAACAAATACAAAGAGGATCTATTTTTTAAATGTTGGTTGAATTTGGAAATTTTCAAGTGAATCGAGTAGTGATATATCCACTTGCATTTGAGCTCATTTTAAATATTTTGGGTAAAACTATTTACCCAAAATATTTAAAATGAGGGGTAGGGATATGAAACAGAGTATTTAACGTGAAGATCTTCCAATAAGATCAGTTCTCTATGATTTGAAAAGCATAAAAAATAAAAATAATGTGAGGAAACTTCGCTAAAATTGTGGGAGTGACAGTAAGTAGGAGGAGGCAAAGGAGTTCGTGAATTCTCTTCAACCAGAAGACCTCTCCGGTTTGTAAAAAGAGCGTTAGATCGAAACAGTTCTTCCATGATGCTATACCCACCAAAGCTGTAAGTTAGCCAGACCCCAAAGTTCCTAGGCCGCCTTCACCAGGACAATGCTGGTAAAGGAAAAAAGCATGCCAGGTAAGGATTGCTCTTGGTGAAGAGGAAGGAAGCACAGGTGGGGCTGGTACCCGCCCCCTCCCCAAGACTCCCGAGTGGGATGGATCACCTTGGGATTTGGCTTCCTTGTAAATTGTTTCCAGCGACTCCGCCCAGCCCTCTTCCACGAAGAAGACCCTTCCTGGGGCGCCAACTGCATTTTACAGGTTCAGACCCGAACCTTAGCCGAAGCTGAAACAGCCGCTCCTGGGCACAGGCTACTCCTGGAGCACCTTGGGAACTGTAGTTCCTCCGCGCCCGAGGCAGGCAGCTGCGGGGGCGCCAACGAACCACCACTCCCAGGAGACTTTGCGCAGGCGGAGCGAGTTAGCTGAGTTACCCTTGGCAACGACAGCGGTCCCGCCTCCTCGCTTTCAACAAAGTTCGCTTTGAGATTTCCCTTGCCTTTTACTGGCGCCCGGTGATGACGCAATGTTTCCTGATTGGCTCTGCAACGGAGGCAGTGGTTTAGGAGGCCCAGAATTCTTCCGGCGGGACACGTGGGAGGGAACTGTGGGGAATTTGAGGAGTCTGAAGGCCAAAAAAGTTGGGAGGTTTGTAGGTAAGTGACCCCTCTCCCTGATGGTGTGGAGCTATTACGGTTGGATGAGTCGTGTCGCTCCCAGACGTTTCCTGGTTGTGTTGTACTAGATGTAATTGTACGCCCACCATGTCTCTTTTCTGGGTGTCCTGGTGGCTACCGTAAGTCCAGATCCTCTCAGATCGTGTGAGCGTCACCGCATCTCTAAGTGAGAGGGGTCTTTTTTCGACTGGCGTCTGCTTAAGGATCGAGTTGTTAGCCGGAAGTTTTTTTCTCGGGACTGCCCAGGGTACTGGAGAGGCTTGGGAGGAACGCAAATCTCTGAGCTAAGCGTTTCATAAGCTCTGAGGCACTGGCAGATGGCTTATGGGGTGACGACAAATCCATCCTCATTGACCGAGCATAGATATTTCCGTGGGCAGTCCTTTCTGGAACACTGGGGTACATAAGGCAAGGTAGATATTTAGCGCCGGAACTTAGGACCCAGCTACTTTGTGGCTATATAACCCCAGACAACTTCTTTAATTACTCTCGGACCCATTGACAAAATAAGGGAGATAGTATCTAAATCACTGTAGTGTGATATGTATAGAACTGTGCCAGGAAACAAACTAACGTGGACCTGAGATTGGTGAAAATGAGATCAGGGAAGCCGTGCCCTCACACCTTTTGCAGCGATCTTAGGACCTGTTCTGTGTCTTCATTACCCATCTGAAGGCTGATGGTTGATTAAATTGTATTACAGTCAAATCTGCAATGTCGTGAAGTAGTTATTTTAAAAGAGTAAGTTAGCTCTGTGTCTCTTCTTCAGGAAAAGTAACCATCAGCTATCTTTCAGCCATCAGTTATCTTTTGTGTGTACTCCTGGGGAGAAAAGCAAATTACAGAGAAGCGCTTACAGTATGTTTCTTTAAAAAAAAAAAAAAAGAAAACACCCACCCATTCCCATATACAAATATATTTAAACGTATGAAAGGAGAAAGTTTGTAGAGGCTGGGAAGATGGATAGAGACTGATCAGGGAGATAAGGGAAATGAAGAACAACACTATAGCAAAATGGAGTATATGACTATAAAATTATATCTTAATGTTCAAATTAATTAGTAAATATTGCATATGCTTATGGACAAGATTCGGGACTTCTAACAGGATACCAGCCTATAAGAGTACAGTCTCTAAAGCCAGACTTATATGATTTAAGTCTTGGCTCTGCCTCTTTCCATATGGGGACTTCGTTAGTCTCAGTTTTCTCATCGGTAAAATACACATAGTAAACAAGTAAAGAACGGTACTTGATATGTAGTAAATATCCAGTAAATGCTATTTGCTGCTATTGTCATTGTCTTTAAATAGGTGAGATTTATTTGCTCAGTTTTATTGTGATTATTAACATATTCAGACTGACTTATACAATCTTATTTTGTATTTTCTGTTTTTGGCCTCTCTTCCTCTTTCTTGCCCTTGATTGTATTAACCCATTTTTCTTTTTCCTCTCCTGCCCCTCTGCGGTGAGTTTGGAGATTAGGCATTCTGTCATTAGCCTTTTTAATGGTTACTTTAATATTTTTTTAAGCAAGCAGAGTTTAAAACTATTCATTGCCTTTCTCCTCCCAAATAATGTGAGGATTCTAAAATACTCTATTTCAAGTAGTCTTATCTTCAGTTACTGTATTCTAGAATTTCAGAGTCTGTTATTACTCTGTTTCTGAGTTAGCTTGGGGCACTGTATTGTTAGGAAGTCCTTCTGACTTTTTTCTGTGCATATACAAATGTCGTAGAGTGAATATGAATTTAATTTTAAAAATACAACTTATGAGCATACATTTAAACTCTTTACAAGACTTAAATATGTCAGATGAGACAGAATTTTTGGAGTAAGGAAAGGAACCAGCAAATTCTTGTCTCTAGCCTTTTCTGAAAAATTCTAGACTATAGAATCTTCCACTAGCTCTTACTTATGTTTCAAAACCTATTCTGTATTTGGTTGATTCTAGTATTCAGTCACAATAACAGTCATTGATTCATTAACTTTAAAGTGCATTTCTCATCTTTTTGCTCCTCCTTATTCAATTCCCTAGAGCTTACTTAGATTGCAAAATGCAATTTTTAACTTTGCTACAAATGGCTTCAGAGTTCTGTTTAAAATATATTTTTATCACTTGAAATCAGGTTATGTGTATTACCTGATAAATCAATAAGGAATATGGTTGTGTAAACTAATGACTCTTGTATTTTCTAGAGTATGTTCTTATTATAATTTATGTAAATTATACAAAAATAATTTATATTTGCCCTGACCAGTGTGGCTCTATTGGGTGTTGTCCCACAAAGCGAAAGGTTACCGGTTCAATTCCCAGTCAGGGCAAATGCCTGTGTTGCTGGTTTAGGCCCTGGTTGGGATGCAGATGAGAGGCAACTGATCAATATTTCTTTTTCACATCAGTGTTTCTCCCCCTCTCTTTCTCCCTCCCTTCCTCTCTCTTAAAATAAATAAATAAAATCTTTAAAAAATAATTTATATTTGTATAATTTGTTGAGTATACACTTTATTTTTTTAACAGGTTTAATATGTAATAACGGCTTTTTAAAAATAGCTTTTATGTTACTCTTTGTTAGAGCATAACTTTTTTCCCTTAATCTTCAATTCTGTGCATTTCACTGATACTTATTTTTATGTCTATCTTTGTGATAATTTGAAATAATGAAGTTAGAGTCAGAAAATTGACCAGGCTTCCTTAAACATATTATCTTTTTAATAATTCAGTTTTAGCATGAAATTTCTTATTGAACCATGCAGAAGATAGTTATTATTTCTAAAGTTCTGAAGACTGTAGTGGCTATTTTATTTCAACGTAAGGATTTATGACTCCCCAAAAAGTAGTAGTAACATTCCTGAATATTTTTTAACTCATGATATATAATCCTATTTGTTTGGTAATGCCTTAAACAATGGTTGACCTTCAGAGTATGTTACAGCATAATACTTAAAGGGTCAGGGTCTAAGGTTGGAGCCTCTAGATAGCTGTAATAACTACCACTGATAAAACTGGGCCTAACTGCACTGGCAAGAATGCTCTGGCCAGAGGGTGTGGCCCCACTGTAGATGCACCGGGATTTGTAAAGTGCCGGCATGTCCAGTGACATTGTTGCATTGTCTGCCATGCCTGGTTACCAAATTTTGTAGTGTATTTTAAGGAGTGGAGTTTAGGATTTGCTTCACTAAGTAATAATTAATTAACTGCATCCAACAAAGTAATAAATGTTTTCTGATTTTTTCTCTCTATCTACAGAAATTATAAAGTATATCTTCATTTTCCTTTTGTCAAATATTTTTCCTTACCATTTATAAAAGTAATGCTAAACTGCTTATAAATTACATGCATATTCAACACAGTTTCTCACCTCTATTTGGACACCAGGTAAGAACAAACTGGAAAATAATCTCACCTCTCAGATATAATATCTGTGTTTTATCTTTTGATGTATATTCTTTCATGTATTTTAATAAACACCAGAATGCAGTTTTGGGACCCATTTTCTTCTTTTAACTACATATTAGACAAAATTGCTATGTTCCCTAGGATCCTCTTATGTTAGAGAAACAAAAATGGGTCACATTAATCATCAGTATTTCCTAAGCAGTGTGACTTTTCTATACACATTGGCGAGGCTGAGAGCGAGCCTTGGCTTTATAGCACTCATTCCGAGATTAGTTTTCACTTCCACCCTTCTATTTGTTTGGATTTCATCAGGTCAGACAAAAATTCCAGGACTGAATTCAAATGTGATGGGTGTCATATTGCTCTGGGATTTGGGAGAAGGTACCTTATTCTCTTCATGTCTTTTCCCATTCCCCCATTCCTGATAACTAAAAAAAATCCTAGACTGGAAGTAGTAATATATAGCTATCATTCATTTTTTGTAGGTTGCTATCTTCGCAAAATAGTTAGCCTTTAGATGTCATAAAACTTCTGAATTTAATCCTCTTTTCTTATCAGGACCTGAAAGAATCCTTCAAGATGAAGCTGAGTCTTACCAAGGTAGCTAATGGCTGTCGCCTAGGAAAAATAAAAAACTTAGGCAAAGCAGGGGACGGCTCCATGGACATCCCAGGCTGCCTTCTGTACACCAAGACTGGCTCTGCCCCACACCTGACCCATCACACACTGCAGAAAATCCATGGGGTTCCTGCCATGGCTCAGCTTACACTGTCATCGCTGTAAGTATTAGGCCCAACCATCCAAGTTTCAACTTTTGCATCAGCTTAGTTACCTTAATAAGGTACAGTGAAGCAAAAGACTTTTTTTTGCTTATATGTATAAAACTTGTAGATTTTTAAAATGTTATCAGAAGAAATATATCAAATATTATACATCATCTGGTCCTAATCTGGAAGCCATTGGCTGGGCCTACATGTTAAAGCTGCTTCATTTTTCCTCTGAATCCAAGGCCCCATCCTGCCCTCATTGCCGCTGCTTCCAGGTGTGACAGAGCTCAACTTGGAGCCTAGAGGCTGCCTCCATGTGCCAGCCTCAAAGATTCCTCTTGTGTCAGTGCATGTACTTACATGTACTACTTACAGAAACAGAACTAAGGGAGTTAGATCATTTGTGTAATGTGCATGTGAATGTTACCCTTAATTGCACAGTCTGCTATATGATGAAATGCCTCCTCAGTATTGTGTTAATAATAAACTGCTTTTGAAGTGGCAAGGGGAAGAAGAAAACCCAGATATTCTGGAGCAGTTGAACTTTGCCAGTTTCTCTTCTCACAGAACTACTTGCAAATTGAAAACCTTTACTCTGGCTAATGAACTTGGCCTGGCGAGTTGGAACTCTGGAGCAATGGTGTATTTGTTGTTCAAGACTACATTGACTGTCGTGTAGCTTGCTTGCGTGAGCAGAGGGCTTCAGTAGTATGGAGCATCTACAAGGCAATCCATTGTTATGTTACATATTTTTCTGTTTTACTTATAGGGCGGAACATCATGAAGTCTTGACAGAATATAAGGAAGGAGTTGGGAAATTTATAGGTAAAATAATTTAGTACTTGTGTGCGCTTTGTGATATAATAATTCGGAATTTGGAGGTGCTGTTTGTTCTGTTATCTTTCCTTCATACATTTATTTACTCATTAATTTAGTCAGCACTTATTGAGCATCTAAGAAGCAGGCATTGGGGACTCAAAGATGGATAGGAAGCAGTTGATGCCCTCATGGAACCCAGAGCTCAGTTAGGATAAAGATAAATAGGTAATCCTATAAGAGTGTGGGGTCAGGAATATGTATCATGAGAGCCAGAGAGAGAAACATAACCTGCTGTAGGGTCCATGTAAAAGAAGGTCAGAATGCAGAAAGGATTCTTGAGAGAGTAGATGAAGGGGCACCTTAGCTGGGGCAGGGAAGAATGGGAGTTAGCAAGGTGGTGGTAGTGGGCAGGTGTGGGCAGATGTACCAGGCGTAGAGCAAAGACCCGGAGGTGAGACCCTGCATGGGCCATCCCTAAGGTCCAAAGTAGTCTTGTCATGTTGGAGCCTAAAACATAAGGCAGAGGACAAAGAATTTATATACTGCTATATTCTGATATGTTACTGTTATCTTTTGTTCCAGAAATAGGACTTTAATACAAATGTATGTTCCATTTATTTATAGGAAAAGCTTAGCAGTGACAGCTAGAGAACAAATTCTTCTGTAGACCACCTTCTCCTGAAGCTTTTTCCAACATCTAAGACTCACTTAAATGAAAACTCTGTTTCCATTGGTTGTTCAGTCTGCTTCTGAGAAAAGACTGCGTGATGACTTGGTTGTCACAAGACTATTTCAGTAGAGGAATTTATGTAATATCATTTTTCTTGATGTGAGAACAATTTTAATAGCCAGCTTTAAAGTACGCAAGCATATAATTAAGTGAAAATAGCTAATATAAGCTTTTTACAGACAATTGTAGTAATTGAAATTGTGGAAAATAAGGTGGGGAACTACAGAGATTTTAAAATTTTATTTCAGTGGAATTCTAATTTTTTTTCTTATGAAAATGAAGGGTAGCATAAAATTTATGTACATATGATTTGCTAAGCATTTTTCTGGATTTTTTTAAAAACAACTATCTTTTTGTCTAAAGAACCTAGGAAGCTGTTATCTTGAGTCACTGAAATGAACTATTCTATAGCTTCCCTTTAATTCTGCCACTAGGGACTCTTGATATGGGGTGGCTTTATTAATGAGTACCTTCGTTTATATCATTTCATCTTTCCAGGAGCTAGTTCCTTGCATAGTGCCTAGAATGAACATACTCGATACTCACTTCTTCTTCAAAGCAAGTTGAGTCAGGTCAACATGTCATTAAACACTTTCATGTATCTCATACTTTAAGATATACCTTCCCCTTGTAGCAACTTTCTGTGTCATTAGAAATGAACCTTTACAGTTCATTGTTCTTTTAGATTAGTAAGTTTCAAAGTATTCTGTTCATTCACATTGATAGGCCTCCTATAGTTCTAACATCAGGTATGAGCAGTTCACTGTGCTTAGTGTTGCTTTGTCTAGCAGTACATACCATGAGGCTGCTCTCTGTTACAGTGCAGTGTGGTTGCTGACATAAGTGCTTTCAGGGGTTCTTTTCTGTGTTTATACAGGCATGCCAGAATCTCTCTTGTACTGCTCCCTGCACGATCCAGTCAGGCCCTGCCCAGCTGGTTATGTAACAAACAAGGTGTGTTCTCAGTTTTTTCAAGGCTACAGCTTTGTCCCAGGAAGTCAGCTTATTGTATCCTTCAAATACCAGGGTCCTACTTCCTGGGATGTTGGCCCAGTCCTGACCCTTTTTTCTTTCCCTTCATTTCTATGCACATAGTGGGGTGGGGTGGTTTATAGAAGTTAAAGGCAGTCAGCCTGAGGATGGGATGAAGGTAAGGAATATATTTTCAGCTTTTTTGTTGTTGCAAAAATTTGGGGTTGGAAAAGGGTTAAGTACATTCCAAAAAAAGAAATTGCTGTGATAGTAGAAAACAATAGTCTTTTGATATCATGCTTTATTTGCAGTTTTAACAACCTCAGGAAGAGTAAGGAAAGTTGCTGATGGGTGTTATCACATGCACAACTATATATAGTAGAACCTCAGTGTAATACTGCTTGTTTTTAGAACAGAATTTGAAAAAGCTGGGTCCACAGCCAGAGTTTTTTAGCTAGTGAAGAACAGTATCAAAAAGACTTCATTAAAAGTTTTCACCTGAGACATAGCCCCATTTCATTGTCCTTGGGGATAGCATTCTGGCAAGGCTTCAGTACAGGGGTGAGCAAAAAGAGGTTTCTAGTTGTGAGTATGTAAAACACAGAGTTTATTTTTGTATTATTACTTATTCTTGTATTATATATGTTTCCATACGAACAACTGTAAACCTCCTTTTGCCCACCCCTGTATGTACTGCTACTTTGCAAATGCAGTTCTGTTTCCTCCTCCACTTCATTGATGTCAACAGTATCTCGTAATCTTACCTAAGATTATTCTTTTAAATTACCCTTCTTCTTTAAACTTTTATTTTGTAATATGTATACAAAAGAAAATATTTTGACATCAGTTATCCTACCCCATTTATAAGGGAGAGAGAACTCATTTAAATTGTGTTCTTATGTCAAAATAAAGACTGTATGTTGCCTCCCCATCTACATCCTTGTCAATCTCTTCTAAGAAGAGAGGTGTTGTAGGAGAAAGAGTAACCGCAGGACCATGCAGAGATTCCCGTGGGCTATGGGATTTATGTTTTAGCACATAAATTTTGCATCTAAGTCAACTTGGTAAATACTTATTAATAATGTGTAAGGCCCTAGACTGTGCTTTTGGGGTACAAACATGGATTGGGATACTCTAGTCAGACAAATGTACAGTGGTGTGCCAAGGCCTATCATTTCTATAAAGGAAATAAGCACGAATTTCTGAAAGAACTTAGTGAGCAATTGATTAAACCAGGGGAAGTTTGGGGAACATGTTAGACTAGGTGATATTTGAACTCATGTTTTAAAGGGTGCACAGTATTTTACCAGGCAAAGAAGTAGGGGAAGGGTATTTCCGTCAAAAGGAACAGTGTGATCAAAGACGGAAAAATCAAAGTGTGCAGTATACTCAAGAACAATATGGGCAGAGTGGGCTGTGGGGGAGGGGAGGCTGGAAGACTGGGCTTCTAGAGAAGTATAATGAATTCTTGGGGACAAGCTCAGAAGCTGGCTTGTATGACTATTGAAGGATTCTCTATGAGCTATAAGGTTCTTAGAGAATTTGGAATACAATATAGGAAACCTTTTAATCACCATGTCTAGGATATTGAATTGCTACCATCTCTAGTTGTAAAGAATTAAATTCAGAATTGCTTTAGCATTTTTTAATTTTCTTTTTATTTGCATTTTACTCTTGCTAACTCCCCATCATCTTGTTCCCTGGCAGTCTGTGTCTGTGTGGGGTGTTGGAGGACGAGTGGAAATGACTGCTTCTAGGTTCATGGCAATTCAGCAGGCCCTCCAGCCAGACTGGTTCCAGTGCCTCTCAGATGGAGAAGCATCTTGTGCAGAAGCAACTTCCATAAAAAGAGCCAGAAAGTCTGTTGACCGATCGCTTCTATTCCTGGATCATTGTCTGCGGCTGCAGGAGGAGTCAGAGGTAAAGCTGTACATCTCACTACTTTTCCTTTGAGACTCTCGCTAATTGACATTCCATGATACAGCTTTTACTGTTCCTCCTACTTTTCTTAGTGTCTGTTATGCTCTCCTGTCTTTTTTCCTGAACCATTAAGTATTATTGCTCTCCAGGATTCTGTCTAAGGCTCTCTTTACATCCTACTATATATGTTCTCCCTAGGCAGTTGCCCCTTTTTATTGCTAAATGGTTCTAAAATTGTAGGTACAATCAAGATCACTCTGCTTAGCTTCAGAATTATACAAGTACAGGGCTTTCGCTAGGTTCTGTCACTAACATATCCCTCACATGCACCTTAAACTCTGAATCTTATCTCTTCAATCCTCTTCTTCCTTTTGCTCTCCCTCCATACTGTCTCAGTTTTTGTCGGCCACCAAGTTCCTCAGCCCAGAATTGTGAGTCTTTCAAGACTTCCTTCAGTATCGGATTTACTCTCCAATATTCACTCCTTTTTTATTCTATCTCCCTAAATTTATCCAGAATCTTCCCCCTCATCACCTTTATCATCACCTTAAGGCATCATAGCCTCAGCATCTCTTATGTGGACAAATACTTTTTAATTGTTCTTTCTACCTCTTTTCTCCTTTCCACCCAATCTAGCTTCAGCCCTGCGCTCTGTAAAGCACAAATATGAACTTGTCTCCCACCTTCTTAAAAGAATTAGTGATTTTTCACTTGTACTCTTAGAGGGCATGGACGGCCAGCAGAAACCCAGCCTCCGCCTCTTCCTCTAGCCCAGTGTGACCTACTCTCTCCTGTGGCTGGCACTCTGCCCCTTTGAGTTACCTGCAGTTCCCTGAGGTCTTATCCTATTTCATGTCGCTGTGCCTGTACACAGATTTCTTTCTGGTTTGTTTCTTTTCTTTTTTTCTTTTTTTAAATCCTCAGCCATATTTCCCCTCTTGCTTCCTAATTGGCTCATTTAATTCCATTGTTCATTCTAGGAAACTGACCTGACCCTTCCAAGAAGCACTTTTCATCCTTTGCCACCCCTTTCATTTGTATGTAGCTGTGTTATAGCCCTAATCATATTCTACTGCAGTGATTTATATGTTTGTTGTTTTTAAACTTGACCTCCTTAGGCTCAATTTCTGTGTCTTCATCGTGGAGCAAAATTCCTGATGTATAGTAAGCCCTCAGTAAATGATTGCTGATGGTGAGTGGTTCTGATGGGTTGGGGAACAAGTTGTAGCAGTAAACAAGGGCTCCTGATTAGCAGGGTTAATGAAGCTGGAAAAAGATGCATTCACCAGGAGAAAGCAGAGGCAGTAGGAGAACAGAAGACAGTGATCAGAGGGGCGAATCGGTGAGTCACCCAGAGCAGTGGCCAGGTCCCACTATGGCAAGCACATTTAGTGTGAGGAACATTGTTACATGAGTTTACTGATAAAAATATAATTTGACTAATGAAGTTAATATGCATGATATAATTAGAGGAAACTTAGTCGTCATTCTGAATAGACCTCTCAGTATCTGCAGTAGGAATTCAGCTTGGGGACAATGCCATGGGTCTGAATTTTCAGTGTTGCTCACTGGCCGTTCTGAGCCAATGATTATCCTTGTAGGGTAAGTAACGTCTGATAAGTAGAAGGGAGGACAGCATCTGGCAGAACATGGTTGTTGGAAAGGCCAGATGAGCCTCAAGTCCCTCTTCTATGTTACAGTCACCTCACCATTTCACACTGTTTCTGTGTGTTGGTCAAATGCTGGGGTTCCTCTCGGTACCCCTAATACTTATGCTGTTGTGTTGATATGATCATTAATAGTGCCCCTTTTACTCTTTAGTGTGTTCATTTTTGGACAATAAACTATATACAATCATACTTTTTGCACCCATGAAAAGGAGTTTCCCAGAAAAGGCTGTGCTGGTCATGTGAAGGGGTGAGACGGTAACTGCTTTGTATGCTGCACACGTCTTTTCCTTTTCCTATGATTCCTCCCCTTGCTCACTGGATCCCCTTATTCTAAATGCCCTTAAATATCGGAGCTTCCCAAGGTTCTGTTGTTGGCTTTTTTTTTCCTCTTCTTGGATTCCCTAGGTCAGGAATGGCAAATGGGTTTCATCCCAAGGTGCTAGGAGCTGTGCCTGGGAGCAGCAGGAAGAGAGTGGTCTTAATATTTTTTTAGGATTCCCTGCCTGCTCTTCTCACCATCTCCTTGGACTTCCAAAACAGGAGCCAGGAGTCCTCCTAGACTGTCTTTGTCCTCCCCTTGGAGAGCTTTTCAGTTGTATAGACTGTACCTCCTGATAAGGTTTCAAATCCCACCCCACTGGCACTGCCTTAGTCCAGGTCCTCTTTGCCTTTTACCTGGATTATTACAGATGTCTCCTACCCCATCCTTTAGCCGTACACCCTCTTAATTCATTTTCCGCATGGTGTCCGAAGCCTTCTTTCTGGAGAGGCGATCTGAGTGTGCCCCTCCTGCTAAAGCCAAGAAGCAAAGTTCTCTCTTCAGAGCCTGCCAGGCTCCCTCCCCTTCCCTGTGTTCTACCAGAGAGCCACTGTTGCTTTATGTATTTTCTTGCAAAGCTTATTTTTATAGTCACGTATACGTAATTATTACATATATATGCATACCTATATGTGTTTTTAACAATATGAATATGGTCATATGTTCAGAAATTGGTTTGTTTTTGTTCAACAATATCTTGAAACTCCCTGTGAATATATTTGTAAGAGAAGTTTATAGAAGTGGAATTTTAGGATATGAAGATAAAAATGCTGGCGCTGTGACAAGTGTTGTGGACGTGTCCTCCCATGAGGCTGAAGTAATTTTTAACCTCTAGTTATTGGGGTATATAAGTACATTTGTCATTTGCACTTCCACTGTGTTATCTTTGAGCTTTGGTGTCAGTGTGATGGGCACGAATGGTATCTGATTGTTTCCTGTCTGCATCTCCTTGCTGGTGAAGTTTAGTGAGCTCTCTGTATATGTACAGGAGATTTACATTTGTTTTTCTGAAGTTCATACTCACACATCTGCCTAGATTTCCTTGGAGTTGTCATTTCCCTAGATTTTTGGAGCTTTTTCTATTGTGTAGATATTTACCTATTCCTCCAAAGAGTAAGTCTTCCTTTGCCCTTGTTGATAGTATATTTCACTAGAGAAGTTTTAATGTTTTTGTACTCAAGTGTGTTGGCCTTTTCCCATAAGCTTTAGGTTACTTAGGAAGGCCTTCCTTATGCCAAGATTATAAAAATATTCAGTATGTTCTTCTAATACTTGAACAACTACATTTTTAGGTTTAAATTTACTTCCGAAGATGGTATTGGCAGTCTTTTGTTTTTGTTTTTTCCAAATGGATAGTCAATTTTTCCAACCAAATAGTAATGAAGTGCCTCAAGTTGTCTCTAAAAGACTTGGCGGTGACCCCAAGCAGGAGTGGATGGTCATTTAAACAAATTGAAATTCTTCTTTTGTATTTTTCTCTTGTACCTGCTCAGCGTGCATTCAATTTAAACTAGGCTAAAGCATGGCTGCATATGTAGATCGCCTCCGTTTCTCTTCAGTCTTTTCTTAACCTGTTCGGGTGGCTTTCAAATTGTGTTCTTCGGAGCCCCAAGAGTTCTCGGGGCAGAGGGAGCACCATCTCCTTGCATGCTTCGACTACAGCAGCTGCACTGAGATCTGATCTGTCCACTGGGCTTCTGTGTAAGGTTCATTTTTAAAAATTTATTCATTGCCCTGGCTGGTGTGGCTGAGTGGGTTGAGCACCTGCCTGTGAACTGAAAGGGCACTAGTTTGATTCCCGGTCGGGACACCCACCTGGGTTGTGGGCCAGGTCCCGGTTGGGGGCGCGTGAGAAGCAACTGATTAATGTTTCTTTCTTTCCTTTTCTCCTTCCCTTCCCCTCTCTCTAAAAATAAAATCTTTTTTAAAAAATAAAATTTATTTGTAGATTTTTCTTTTTTAGAGAGAAAGGGATATATATGTGTATATATGGGTGGGGGGTAGAGAAAGGGACAAAGATATCGATCTGTTCCACTTATTTATGCATTCACTGGTTGATTATTGTATGTGCCCTGACCAGGGATTGAACTCGCAACCTTGGTGCATCCAGAAGACCCTCTAAACAACTGAGCTGCTTGTCCAGTGCCATGTGTGAGGTTCATTTCTTTCCAGGGGCATCCAGCCTTTTGGCTTTCTGGGCCACAGTGGACAAATAAGAGTTGTCTTGGGTCACAAATTAAATATACAGACACTCATGAAAACTGATGAGCCAAAAAATGGTTTTAAGTAAATTTACAGTTTTGTGTTGGGCCACATTCATAGCCATCCTGGGCCGCATCGGACTGCCGGCCGTGGGTTGGACACCCAAGGTACTGGAAACAGTTAAAAACATTCATTCCTTTTTTTACCTTAGGTCCTTCAAAAAAGCACGATCATCGGCGTGATTGAAGGTGGAGACGTGATGGAGGAGAGGCTGAGGTCAGCAAGAGAAACAGCCAAGCGGCCTGTAGGCGGCTTCCTTCTGGATGGCTTTCAAGGGAACCCAGCAACTCTGGAGACTAGACTGAACTTGCTGTCATCAGTTACCGCAGAGCTGCCGGAAGACAAACCGAGGCTAGTGTTGAGTTAGGATGCTGGCCAAGCCTCACAGGCTGCTGCAGAACAGGAGTGCTGGGGGTTGGGTATTATGTAGTCTATACGTGGGCATGTCTTTTCTGGGCTGAGTCTGCCATTGCCCACCATAAGGGGAATCTCCATTGAGGCTGTCCTGTGCTTGATTTCAGAATGTAGACCAGAGGACAGTTGCCATATTGATTAGTTTATTTGGTGTTCATTCTAATTGTCATACTGTTTCCTTCATCCTTGTGCCAAATACAAATACTCTTCTTCACTCATTATGCAATAACATGGTTTCTCGGGATGTGTATAAAGTCATGTAGAACTCTGGCCTTACTCAAAGCAAGTCGAGGACAGATCTGGGATGCCTAGCAGAATGAAGATGGGTGCTGCTAATAAGGACCTTTAAGAAGTTCTTAGATTTTGAGGCAGTGATATAATTTTTTGACATTGAGGGGACCAGTAACACTAACAGGGTTGTTTTTTTCCGTAAATCACAGGTTTTACTATGTGCCAGTGAGAAGAGATGATGTACAAGATTCAGAGCTTAAGGTTTCTGAGTGCAGCTGATGTCTTATTAGACTACCCTAATTTTTTTTTAAAAGACAAGTCTTATCCCACTTGGTATGAATATTCATGGCCTTTTCCTGCAGATATAATAAGAGGTTTGATCACAGTGCTGCTTAGGCTGTTCGATAGTATCTAACATGTAATTTCACCACTTAAAAAAATCCAGGTGTGACATGCCGTGAAGTGTATGAATCTTATGTAGAGTTTGATGACTATATACTTGCGTAAACACTGGCCAGAATGAGATATTTTCATCACATCAGTATTTGCCTCAACTTTAACCTAGTTGTCTATGTTCACTGCTGCTCCTCCTATTTCATTCCGGTACAGATAACCATTTAGTGCTAGTATTTCTAGTCATTTTCTGGACTTTGAGTTAAGTGCTCACAGATGTCTGCTGCTAGATTTGAAAGCTGAAATTGTTTTCCTTCTGTAAGTGTGTAGAAATGCCAGCTTCAGTCAGAGAGGAGTTCTAAAACATTATGTTACTTGAAGGAAACTGTAGTCAGAAAAACTGGCATATATTTAAGGGTTCTATTTGTTTAATATTACATAAGCCTTTTTTTTTTTTTGAACTTCTTGTAGAAGTCAGAGAGTCTATAAGCTTTTCTCTGCCAGTTCATAAAAGGAATTATGGATAGAAAAACAAGCATGAAAAACAGTAGCAAATCAGCCCTGATCTAGTGTATCTTCCCATCTTGTTTTAGTGGCAAAACCTGGCTGAGTGTTATTAATATTCTCAGAATGCCTTGCCCAGTACCTCTAAAATTACCATCTCATTCCACCATGCAGACAGTCTATTAATGGAGAAAATGTAAAGAAGCATAAATAAAGCCAACTAGATTCCTAGATTCTGTGGGCAGAATTGAAATTCTAAGAGCAAGAGTTTCTTTGTAAATGAACATATGAAGAACACAGTAGATAAAAATGTCTTTCTGGAACCAGTTATTAAAAAAATTATAGGCAAATTACAGTTAAAACATAGAAGTATTTGAGGGGGAAATAAAGCACATACCTCTGCACTCTTAAAAAGTCTATGTGGTGGATAGGTAGGCTGTTAAGTTCAGTCTAAGACAAGGGAGGTTGTTCAGAAGGCGTGAGAACAGAAAGAAAACCAACCTTTATTGAGTTTTTCTTTGGGACCAGAAAATACACCATGTGCTTGTTCAAATATCTCATTAGTTCTGAAGTTTGTATTAATGCTCTTATTTTTAAAATGAGAAAACCAAAACTCAGAGAGGGTAAGAAGTTTTCCCAAAGAACACAGCAAGTAAATTAATAGCAGAACTGGGAATCTAGCCCAGGTCTCTGCCTCCAAAGTAAAGGTTCTTCCCACCACATCTTATTATTTGCTGCCTGCCATGCTAACCATGACTGATGGTTTTCATTATTATTTTAATGCCCTTTGGAAAGACTCTCTGATTCCTGGCATTGCTCTCATGTCACTGTTCTTATTTTCACAGGCTCATCTCTGGTGTTGGCCGGCCAGATGAGGTGCTCGAGTGCATTGAAAGAGGAGTGGACTTGTTTGAGAGTTTTTTCCCTTATCAAGTGACAGAGCGGGGATGTGCCTTGACTTTCAGCTTTGATTACCAGCCGAATCCTGAGGAGACATGTAGGTCTTTTAAAGTTAATCTCAATACTATCCTAAAGTTTCTTCTATTTCCTATCAATTTTTGGCTTGTGATTCAAGCCAGAAGTATGTGCATATTCTGAAGCCAGCCTTTTTTATAAAACTCCATCTTTGTTTCTTATCTGTACGCTTTGGCATGTTGGTCCACAAAACCTGGGTACTTAATACTGTACACATAGCTCATCGATATTAGGAAGTAATTTTGTAGTGAGCAGAAGCAAAAACAAAACAAAACCTCCTTTATTAACAACCTGAAAAAGACCATTCAGAGTGAATAGTGATGAAAATCTAAGAAAATAAAACCTTTGAACTGCTTGGTAAAAGTTAATTTGTTTTTTCACAAAAGAGTTCTTGTCTGTTTTTTGCAAACCTTGTGCTATTAAAATACAGGGAGTCTCATCCCCTCTGATCCTAGTGATACTTGGGTTTTTTCGTCTTTGTCTGCACACTGAGATGTGAAAGCCATTTTCCTCTGCTAATATTCCTTTGAAGTGCTGCCATTTTCCTTTTATTGTTTAGTTATTCAGAGGTCAAGAGAGATCAGTTTCAGATTCTGACATTTAATTGGAGGTAGTAAAGGAATTGGGATACAGACTTTGGGCTGGGGCCCTTGAAGCGCCTACCCCATTTTTCAGGAGAGTGTTGCACACCCAGGGTCCCCTCCGACCCTGGGCAGGGTGAGGGCTTCTCCCTTCCTGCTGTTCTTTGAGTTCTTCCTGTGTCACCGTCCACTTCAAATATGACTAGGGCTCTAGACTTCCTTTAAAGGTCCATTTTGTTCCCCACAAGTTATCAGAATTTCATTCAGAAGATATTACACATTTATAAAGCATCTGAAACATTGATCTAAATGGAATTACTTCTGGAAACAACATAAATCAGCTAATCAAATAGGAGGCCAATTTTACTGTCCTTTAGACAGGCCAGAATATAATGTATGTACCGTAAGTAAACATTTATAAATGTATATGACTTTACTTATAAACTTAATTATTTCCACCAGGATATATGTAACTATTAGTCATTGTGTACCATGAATATGCAAGCTCTGAAAAAGAATCTGATACTGAGTTCTCTGAAACAAACAAGTTCCTTTTTGGCCACAGAAAGCTGTTTATGATTGAGGTTTTGAAATAGTTTGAACATTTTTACTAAAGTGTTGTTATTAATCTCATTTGTATATATTTGTATAGTAAATGATAGTCCTTTGCCAAACACAGTGTGAAAATTAGAAAGGAATAAGCTGCCTAACGTGGGCAGCAGTTCCCCCTGGTGCCGGGGCTCTGTGGGCTCCCACAACACCAGGCAAACTCACAGCAGCAGAATTACAGCCCTGTGCTCAGTGCTCAGTGCTCAGGCCACACTTCCCTTTTTCCTTTGACTTGGACAAAATTACCGCCCTGGGACCATTTGCCCATCTCCTTGGCGAACCTTGAGATTGTTATTACTTGTTTCCAGAAATACCTATCTACTTGCCCCTGTTTAAGGCAGCTGGCTCTTTGCATAAGAATCTATGTTGCTCTTTTAATCCCAGGAGTGTTCTTTCTTAAAGCAAAGAGTTCATGGGAACAGTTCAAGTCCCCATTCAGTTCTGGATTATCTGAGTTCCCCAGAGGACCAGTCTCCATACAGAGTACATAATTTAAACCATATTCTACTTTTAATCCCTTTGGAACATAGGCAGTTCTAAGGCCCAGTTAATTTGCATGTACATTATGCGGAGACATAACTTCAACATACACACATTTATTCACATATACATACACACCAACTGGTTTTTAAAAATCACTTTTTGACAGTAAGAATACATGTTATATATGTGTGACCATAATTTAGACATTGTTGAACCTCCAAATTTTGGTATCATAGACGTATAGATAATAGGTCAGTGATCATCTTGCTCATTTTCTTGTGTCATTTCCTTAAATTCTCAGGGGTGGCACTAGAGAGTAAAGGGGCATGAAGTGGTAACCAAAAATTCTCCCAATTGCCATTTTTATCTGATCTCCACTCACAACTTTGTGTTGGTTTGCCCTTCAGTATTACAGCAAAATGGGACACAGGAAGAAATAAAGTGTGTGGATCAGACAAAGAAAATTAAAACTACCAGTTGCAACCAAGAAATGACATCATTTGAAATTAATCTGAAGGAAAAAAAGTAAGGAATTTTTTTTTTAAGTTTAGATTTTGATTTCTGACTTATGTTTCAATCTGTTTTAACAGTTTATGTAAACTATTCCCTTTTCAGTTTGTGACTTCATAAAATACTTATAGTTGGGTATTATTTAGGCCTTCTCAAATTCACTTCCAGAAAGTCTTTTTATCTGTAGATGAATTCATATACTTTGTCTTATACTAGAACTGAGGCTAGGTAACTGTTGTTTTAGGAGAGCTGTTGTAAAGATTAGGCCAAATCCATGTTCAGGGTTTTTTACTCCTTCCAGTTACTTTTAATAAGACAGAGCAAAATAAGGATTTCAAGATAAAATACAACCAAGTTTTCTTAGTTTTAAGGAACTTAAGTTATTTTGGTTATATACAGATTATGGACCTTAAATATTTTCCTCTATAAAGAATGAATTAGGATATCTTGCAACTTTGCTCATATTTGGTTGGAAGCAGTAATAATCAGGGAACCAGTGAGTGGTTTATCTGTGACTTTGGTACACCCACTTTAGAACTTGGCTGATTTTGGTCTCATGTGAAGGGACATTCTAGGGATTCAGACTTACTAATGTCCATCTAGCAATAGTTCAGGCTTGAAAATTTATGAAAGAACGTGTAAGTCCTAGTTCTTTCCTATCCTATAGGGGCTTCTTGATTGTTGGTCTGAAATAATGATGTTTACCTTATTGAAAAAGAGCCAGAGAGACTCATTTTTATTTCTAAATTGTTAGAGTAATATCAATGGTTACTACTAAAATTTTCTATATGTTACAGATTTAGCTGGAAGTTGTAGTTTTTGTAGTTTTCTCATTATCAGCAGTAGGCTCGAAGTTACAGAAACCTGGAGTTTGGAGCCTAGCACTGCTTGTGCCTCAGTGACATTGGCCACGTCACTTGACTTCTTTTAGATAGCTGATAAAAGGTAACGTATACGGTTCTTAGCATGTGCTCAGCAGTGTCCAGGCCTTTACTCTATTAGCTCATTTGATCCTTGGGACAGCTCTGCAAGGCAGGTGTTACAGGTGAGAAAACAAAGTCAGAGGGAGGTGGGTGACTTGCCCAAGTGAGTTCTGAGCCGGGAACCCAAACCAGGCATTGTAGCTTCAGAGCCCACTTAACCCGAGTGGTCTTTCTAGGTTAAATGACAACAAAAATGCCTGTCTCCATGAGTTGTTGAAAAGATTAAATGACAGTTTATGTAAAAATGCTTTGTAAAGTGCAAAAAGCTGTGCAAGTAAAAGGTCAGACCATGTCTTCTGACATGGTTCTGGTGGCAGATAGGAGAAACGTGTGTTCGTCAGACAGCATTTCCTAACACTGTGTACCTTTACAGTGCGACCGATAGTGTTCAGCCTGAGGGAGCGACCACAGGACTCTCTTTGCTGCTCCTTTGTAAGCCTCAGGCTAGGAGGTGATGTCTGGCTGAGGAAGACTCCTGAGTCTCCTGGCTCATTGTGCTCTGTTAACTTGGACCACATTGCCATGTTAAGCAGGTGCCCGGCCGTACACTGCCAGTGATGTTACTAACGGTATTGCTTATGTGCCAGCAGAACAGATAGCCTAGGTTGTGGAGTTCTTGTATTCCTCACTTTCTGGGACATCATTCTGACTTCCTTTCTCAGGTACCAGGAGGACTTTGACCCATTGGTGAGAGGGTGCTCCTGTTACTGCTGTGAGAATCACACTCGTGCGTACATCCACCATCTGCTGGTGACCAGTGAACTGTTGGCTGGGGTCCTGCTTATGATACACAACTTTGAACACTACTTTGGATTTTTCCACTCTATCCGGGAAGCACTAAAAAGTGACAGACTGGCGCTGCTGAAAGAGCTCATCCGCAGGCAAGCATCTTGAGACCTGGCATACAGAAGTCTGACTTCGAATTGAGCCAGTACCACCGTGGTAAGGTGGGAAGGAGAGAACAAGAAATGATCTTAGCTGTCATCATTCGTATTGGAGAAGAAGATCTGCTCAGACAAGGAACGTGCATACCAAACTCTGTCCACGTGAGGCCAAAGAGATTTTTTTCTAAAGACTTAAGTGACCTGGATTGATCAGAAAGAATTGAAGCATGACCTTTAATATTTCGGTGCTGAAAGTCAGTAGAGATTTTTTACTCAAAGGCAAAAGCTTCAGATGTGAAGAGACAGCCTTGAAGTGGCAGTGATGAGGTTCTGAGGGTTCTCTGAGTGGATTGGAGCTTCAAGGGAGATGATTGGTCATGAGTAGTGTGACCCGGTGGACACATGCCTACTCACTGAAGAAGGAATCGGGTTGATTCAAGTGTTTTCTCTAATTCTTATATTCTCAGGGGCCTCTCTGGACCCTTCTGTCTTCCTAGCTGCCCCAGCAGTACAGTCTGTCTGAAAGGGCTCTTGTGACTTGACCAGGCTTGCCTCTCCCTGGAACGTGGGGCTCACACATTGCTCCTGTGACCAGTTGCCCCAGCACACATTCCTTCATTTGGCTCCCTGGTCTGTTTGATACTTATCTCCCTAGACTAGCTACATCTGGCTGTGCAGGTCTACTGTATCCACCCTCAGGTCATCAGTATCATGACCATAACTGGCCCCATCACTCAGGGAGATTCCTTCACCATGGGTTCACTTGGACAGAGCTTTGGACTGGCAGCTGGAGCATGGGGTTCAGGGCTACTCACCTTTCATGCTTGTTGCCTCCTGGACAAATGGGGACAGACACAGTGGATAGGACTGAATGAATTTCTAAAATTCCATCTAGCTCTAATATTTGGGGAACAAAAAGTTTTAGGTTAGAGTCGTAGCCTTACTTGTCGTTCTTGTTTATTGATCACTGTCAGCCTGATGAAAAATGCATGAGTGCCAGGCGTCGGGCAGCCGTGGAGATATTTAAGAGCCTAAAAAGAGGTGTGGCCTGTGGGTTTTGAAGTGCTTGGTGAACTGGCATTAGCAGGTCCTGAAGGCTGGAAAGACCTTCCTGGATCATATCTGATTCAGTGAGTTTTTCTGGCCCTTGTCAAAGGAGTGACATTCGTGGCCTGGCAGGTGACTTCTTTATTATGTGCTTTTTTTATATTTATGAAATTTTCTATACGAATATACACACACAGACATGTATATACATTTTTGTAAAAACAACAACAGAACCTAAAAGGTGCTTTCTTTATATTTGTAAGAGTGTAGAATTATATTTGTTTTACATTATTGTGCTTTATTTTGCCGTTTGTTAATTTTAGTGGGCATTAGTGAACATGTTTAAAAAATTATTATGTGGTTTCTATATTTTTATGTGTTGAATGGCCATCTATAGGTTTTTCTTTTAATAGTGGTATAGGCGTGTCCATGAATTCTGTTTTGGAATTCACAGCTTTTGGAATTCATGGACCTTCTTCTGACATCTCTCCTCTATGAATGGCAAAGGCACTTATCAAAGAGAGAATCAAATGTTTCTTTAATGTAAATCTATAGCCAATAAACATTTCAACTAAAATGTATATACTATATTGTTTCCTGTAAATAGTAGTGAATCTATTAAACAGAATATTTTAAATTTCCATGGTACCAGAAATGTTCGTCTTTGGGAGAATATTCTACTACATTTACTCCATCTATAGTCATTGTTTTGAGTGCACTCACACTAAATGCAGAATCCAGGGAGACTCAGAGATGCAACTGTCACTTTAAGTTATATAATTAGGGACCTTAAGGCCGTGCTTAGCACATAATTAAAGATAATAATAACCACAATCTTTGGAGCATTTTTAATGTGACAAGGCACCTCAGTAAATGAATACTTTCCATATATATCTCATTGACCCTTAGAGCAGGCCTGTGAGGTGTTGATATTGTTAGTCCTCTTACTGAGTTTCAGGAAGGTTGAGTACCCTGCCTGAGGGCCTGCCAGGAATTTCTGGAAGTTTGCCTAAGCATCTACCTAGGACTAGTTAGTTCACAGGTTAGACTTTGGCTCCATCTGACTAAAACTCAACAGTTAACCATTGCACTAAATAACCTCTTACTTTGTGACTTGCTCCTTTGTGAAAGCTCTTGGGTTTACAGGGACTAAGAGAAGCAAGGACTGAACAGAAGGACCTTGTGGTCTGAAAGTATACGGCGCTTCTGGAGCTCTGCTATAGCTCTGTCCTCGCTCCCCCTCCTCTAACAGACTAGCTAGGACTTCCCTGTGCAGCCCGCAATACCACTGTCACCTGTAGGGTCTATAGGTGTGCCACATGAATGCCATTCCATGTCCCCAGATCATTCTCACCCCCCTCCCCCCCCAGTTTGGGGACTATTCACATCCTGAATGGTGTTGAGAGTGTTTGGGTCTGTGATAGGTTCAGGTGCCCGCCTGGGTAATCAACAGGAGTCTGAGGTTTCCTACATGCCACAGGGGAGGAATATTTTATTATTCTTTTGGAATAAAGGGAAGAGAGTCTTCTAAAACATTTGTAAACCAAATACTAATGTAATTAAAGAATTTTAATAAAAACTTCAAACAAAGACCGTCAAAAGGTCAGGAATAGAGTGTGTAAGCAACTTTCTTAACCAGGAATTTTTTTTTTCTGTTAAGGCAGCTTGGAGCTCACTGGGTAATCACAGAGTTAAATGATTATCCTGTGCCGTCCTGATTAGGAACAGGCTGCTCTCCGAGGTTTGATTAGTCTCGCTGGTTGCTCCGGGATCACAGCTAATTAAAACTGACAGTGCTGCGTAGGGCAGGGAGCCAGGAAGGTCAAGCTTACATGCTGAGCCAGCCACCAACAAGCCTCTGCCTTTACCTGAAGGTTTGATGTAATTGGCATTCATTTAAAAATTCTTCATTTCGTTCCTTTTTTTTAAAATCTCAGGTCTCTTCTTTCCCTTACTCCTCAAGTATCTCTGACTTATGACCACATAACCCAAGTGACAATAGGAAGAAGAGCAAGCCCAGTGTGAGCAATGTGGATTAGGATCACCATCCCTCCTCACTGTCCGCAGCAACCCTGGTTTCTGTCTGTGGTCCCAGCATAAGTAGTAACAACACCTGCTTTGCTCTCAGTAGTTTGGACAACAAGTTATACAGTCACCCTAACGTGAGTGGCAGGGCACTAGCCAAACGGGAGGGAGCACAGGTGTCCATCTAAATCAGGCAGCTGTTGCCCACTCACTAATTGTTGCTGTGGCCCAGTGCTGTCAGGTCCTCCGGTCTCTCCAAGGGGCCAAATTCTGGATTTCCAGGTGAAATAGCACAATTTTTGAGTGTTGGGTCTTTTTAAAAAAAAATACTCTTTTTTGTCTTTTAAAAACAAAACCTAGGTGTGCCTAACTTGCAACCTTTGGGTTAGAACCTAGAGGGAAGGCATTTTCAGCATTTTAAAACCCTCAATGACTCATAAAATGTAGAGAAAAAGCACCTATAGTTTCTAGTTCCTGCAGCTGATTACAGATTCCCACATTAAGAAATTCTCATGGTCTCCCATCTTCATGACAAGATCCCCACACAACTCCCAGAACCATTCTGAAATGCCCAGAGAAGGTAAGCATCACCTATTTAATGGATGAGAACTCGAGTGTGGAGAAGAAAGGCTAGTCGTTGCTGTGCTTTACTGTTACGGAGTCTGAACAGACATATACTTCTTTCCAGTTACCCCTTTGGCTGTCCTACATCTTACCATATTTTCTGCTAGGCTCTGCCCTTCCAGGGTCAGCAGCGATTTCTCAGTACTCACTCGCCAGTGATCCTTTGTGACTCACAAAACCAGTTGGTACAAAGACATAAGGGCTCCCGTTGTACCTTCCAGCGTTATTAGTGACAGTCCTTGCTGACACAGTGAGAGCTCAATTACTTTTGTCAGGTGAAGGAAAATTCTCAGAGCAGTTGAGACATTATCTGCAGATTTCAGCCTGCTGAGCACTAGTTAGAAGTGACTCGCACAGCGGTATGTGGTAGGACCTTGGCTGAATGTCTTGTCAGTGGTAGTTTTACCTCCTTTATGCCAGGCAAGGTCCCAGTGACCTTTTTTTTTCATTTATTGGGTTCTGCTTTCCACCATTAGCATCTTCTAGTGCTGGCCTCAAAGCAATTTCCCCAGATCTGACACGAGGAACTCGGAGTGAACTTTTCTTTTGTTCTCATTCTTCGAAGTCCACTTTGAGACCCTGCTGAAGTTGCAGAGGAGTTCAAAGAGCCCACGCTTCCGCCAGTATGATGCAGAGGGATTAGCACGTCCTCTCTGCCTGGTGTTCACCTCTTTCCTTGAACTACTGTCTCCTGCTGTCTGCTCCTTTGTCTGAGAAACACATTTTCTCTTATTATCACCTGTTCCCTGCCCATTTCAAATGGCTTCAGCTCGCCTCTTAACAAAATCAAGGTGTTGCTGTTAATGTTCATCTCTTTCTTTGAAGGTGACAGCTTACAGTCACCTTCTTTTATTTAGTCCTTTCTTTCCCCTTACCTCCCGAACCATGTAATCATCTCTGCTTCAAATAAAAGTTTCATTACCATTTTATAACTACTTCCTTATCGTTGCTATCAATAAGGCACAAGAGGGAGGAGATAAAAGGGGAGAGAAACAAAGTGAGGGGTGAGGGGTACTCCAGTCATTGAGAAGTGGCAAGCATCTTCAGGACTCTTAAGAAGAAATTAGGCAAGATCAGCCTCAAAACTGAAGGTTACAAGCCCAGTAGTTTAGTGAAGGTTTCCTTCAATTTTTTTTTTTTACTTCACCCAAGGATATTTTTCATTGCTTTTAGAGAGGGAGGAAGGGAAAGAGAGAGAGAAAAACATTAGTGTAAGAAGAGAAACATTTGATCAGCTGCCAGGTCATATGCGCCCAAACCAGGGATCAAACCCACAGCCTGGGTAGCTGCCCTGACAGGAATCGAACCTGCAGTTTTCAGGTGCATGGGATGAAGCTCCAATCAACTGAGCCACATTGGCCAGGGCTCCTTCAATTTTTAGGGATGGAATCCCTCTGAGGGGAGACCATCTTCCAAACTGTTAAAATACTGCTTAGAACCATCCCAGCATCATTTATGGTGGTCATAACTCCTTTCATACAGTCCAATTACATAATAGGTAAGAGTTTTTCTGACCACACCTCCAAAAAGCTAAAATATTTACCCATATTTTCTAGTGTTTTTCATTCCCTGCTCTTTTATTTTTATTTAACAGTCTTGTATAACATTTCCATCACAAGTCCATTTGTTATTCCCCCAATGCCAGTTGAAGAAAACAAACCATACAAATACACTCAGTTCCCCACATAGTAATTCCACATCAAAAAAGAATAACAGTATGTTGTTTTTTTCTGATTTTGATTAAATTCTTGACTTTCATGTTGTTTAAGTATCAAAGTTGATTCCAGTCATGTTGAAAAAGTCAGTTCAACTTTACTTTTCCATTTGAACATTCAGCTACTACCACAAATTCAACATGTCAGAGAACAAATCCATTATCTATCTTCCATCAAGCTGGTGCTCCAACTTCCTTGCCCCCGTCCATGGCACCAGTCTTCCAGTCAATCCAACTGGGAAACTTAGTCCTTGGATAAAGGAAATAATTTATAGAAGTGGTGGGGATAAGATATTTCAAGGAAGAGATGAGAAGACTTGACGACTCTCTTCATCAGGAGAGGATGCAGAGGGTGCAGTTAAGGCGTGATTCAAGGAAGATTACCACCTATTCTGCCTTTACTCCCTCTTGTCCTCCCACTTTCTTCCTCCTTTAGTGTTGGTAGTCTAAGCTGTCATAAATATTATCTTCATTGGGATACCCTCTGATAAAAATCTTCATGGACTCTCCATTGTTATCCAGAGCCAGTCTCAACTGCCTGACACATTTCTAGACCTGTAGTAATCTTACCCCATCCAATGGTCATATCTTAAGGTGCAAGAACCAGATCTTCCACAAAAGTTTGGCTTTTCTGGTAACCTAGACTCTCAGGATTAGAAGAAGAGGAGCTTTTATTCTGGCTTCCCTTGTTCATAAAGGCACCAACAGCCAGTGCTCTGGGCATTTGGTTTGGTCAGGCGTTCCATTCTGTAAGTCTCATCTCCCAACCAAACGGTCAGCTCTGTGAGGGAGGCTGACTCCTCAATATTTCCCTTGTCTGCACCCCAACTCCTGCCCCAGTTTACAACACGTTTCCACTGAAATAATTAAAGGGGGAATGTGTGGCTACTTTTCTATAGTATTACCTCTGCCCGTCTGTCTTTAACACATGGCTTGTCCCATTCCTTTTTTCATGGTAAGTTGTTCAACACTTTCTGTGCCTTAGCATATTGCCTTCTTTACTGCTCATGGCAATATTCTGAAGGTGATAGTCTACCATTTACAAGAGAAGGAACTGAGCTCAGAGGAATTATATGACTTGTTCAAAGACAGGAAACAAGAGGTCCAGGATTTGAACTGGGTACTGTGATTTGGAAGCCCAGCGTTTCCTCATTTCACTCCCTGTGCCCCCTAAGTTGTGTTTACAGAGCATCTGCTCTCCCTCAGGAACAAAGGGCAGAGGTAGGTGGAGGCTTATGCCAAATAAAACTTTCCTGTGTGATCACCTCTCCTGGCTGC